TGCTGGCAAGTAGATCTGTGTTTGGTGAAAATTTCCCCTGTATTTTGTAACACTGAATAACCAAATATCCCCCAAATAAAGAGTACACTGGAACATGTCTAGGGAATCATCATACTTACAGAAGTTGGTTTCCAGTCGTCCAGCCTGCTGTCCAAGATTACATCGTAGCAAAAAGCTCCCGATATCACTGCATGGCAAGTCAAGATCCAAAAGAAAATGAGTAATTTTTGAAGTTAAGTCTGAACTAAACCTATTTTGCAATCCTAATGGTAGCCAATGCTCTTATACATGTTTATGGTGCAGCCAATGTGGAATATTGGGTATGATTATGGTTGCACCATCTAAAATGGGTAGTGATAGACTAGAGTAGGAAAAGAGGAGAGCAACCACAATGATTTATAGGGGTTGGGGCATTTTCTTTACAGGAAAGATAAATAAAACCTGGGTGGCTATTAAGGTCAACCTCTGACACCCTGCTCTGAGTTTCACCACCTTCTGGTGACTGGAGAAAAGGGTTTACACTTGCACTTCATCTTTGGAAGTCCTTTTTCAGAGAGGTTCTCCCAGTGTCAATGTTGTTCTCTTTTCAGCAAAGGTGAAAGCATTTTTATCTGCTCAGACCTTTTAGATTTTCTACAATTTTTATCAGAGGTAAGTTACACTGAGAATCCATGAAGTTGACTAACAGTAGATTCCAAACAGCTAAGTAGTATTTCACCATTCAACTTTTAACTAACTTACAGAATTGTCTGCTACAAGATATGGCAATGGCCATTAATGATGCAAACAGATAAAAATTATTTGATCCATTTGCGAAACAGGTTTTCTCTTTCCCCAAATCTCCTCACACAGGGCAAGGGGTCACTACAGGGCTGAGGAGAGGATGGGGAAGTCCACTCATACGAGATTAGAATTACTCTAAATTACCAAAGCTTTTGAAATGCATAAATTAAGCAGACCTTTAATCAAAGAACCTTCTACATGTGTTCCAATATACAATTGATCAACTTTCAAGAACAGTAAGTTTGCAACAGCAAAACATGTACCTGGCACTTCCGGAGCTCTAACAAGAGTGACAGGGTATTCATCTTTAAAGGCCTGTTCTAATACACAGCCCAGCATCATAGCACAAGAGCGCCAATAGGCCTGCAACAAAGGATTTCAAACAAACTTTATTTATTCTAACATCATGCCATGCCAGTTCAGTTCAAGTGAAAACAAAGTGTAAAAGTTTCAAAATATGCAAGAAGACAGCTGCTAATATTAATGGATATCTCTCCACCTCACTTCTGACATAAAGTTTGCTTGTGGTAGAGAAGTGGAAATGTGAGGAATGGAGCTGTCCTCCATTTTCATGTACTGTGTAGGACTAGTAATCGTTGAAAGATATGAAGCCCTCTAGAGCAGAGCCACACGTACAAGATCTTTCTAGAAATTGTTTGCTATATGGTAGGATCCAGATTTCCCATTAGAGGAATGGCCAGATTCTTTCCATTTTTGGAAGGCACCAAGATCCAACAGAGACTCTCTGATAGAGGAAAAGGAGAAAGCGACCTTCAATGGTTCCTCCTTTTTCCTGTCTCCTCAAGCTGCTTCCCACACTATTATAGAGGGTCTCACAATTTTCTGGAGAGCTTTCCAGGACACACAGGGTAAAGGAGAAATTGAGGGAGTTTCCTTCCCTGCCTTCCTCTTTCAGAGTAAAATAGAATTTCACAGAGCTATTCTGGATTCAACCGTTATTGGCCTGCATTTCTTACTGTTCTACTATAAACAAGAAGAGCATTGCTTATGCAGTTATGTGGAAAGAGATATAAATGTACTACAGAAGTGTGTGATTTAAAAATAAAAGAAAACCAGGAAGCCAAATATTTTGAATAATACATAAAGAGTAACCATGTATGACTATGTAGCAATTATTTTCTGCCCTCATCTTTGTGCTTGTATTCAACAAACAAGATTCAAATCCTTCTCTTACTTAGGTTTTATTCGAAAAAAGCTTCAACTCAAAGGGAAGAAAACACTGAAGAAAAATGGTACAAACATACTTTGTTCACCTCCTCCGGATCCTCACTTTTGAAAGTAAGAAACTGAATTTCACAGGAGTGAGTCAAAGGCCTGTACATATCCCAGATTTGTCCATCTACAAGGGCAAGTACCGATCTTTTACTGTGCCATTCACTTAAATCTAGGAAAGGAGAAAAAGTACAAAAAGTACAGCAAAATAATAGTGATAGTATAGTTGTACTTTGTTTACAATAATCAGCCAGACAATAAACCATCAATTAAAAAAGAGTGAGCAGCAGCGGCATTCTCCATGGACCAGCTGTTGCTCAGCCTTTACTGTCAGACACTATCAGAGCTCAAAAACATTTGGGATAACAGAAGAGAAAAGAGAGGACCTAGTCAGCCTATTTATTTTTTTAGATCATCTTGTAGAATGTTGTAAAGAAATTGGATGGATGGAGCATACTTCTCCTTCTTAGCTTGTTAGGAATTCCTGATAGATGTGAAATTAAAAATCAGGCAGGCATCCTTTTGATGGCCAGGGAAAGGTGGAACTAACAATGTTGGAGATTAACAAGGGTGGGAAACCACTGGACCTCAGCCTAATTTTGAAAACCACCTGGAAGGGATCATTCAAGTCCTTGGAAGAGCAGTCTGCCTCCCCACACAAGCAATCTGTTGGGCAGGGAAGAATAGGATTCAGGAGAGAAAGACTGAACACCTGAAAGTGAGAGACAGAAAGAGTGGCTCTGTCTTCCATTGGCAGGTTACTCCTAAAGGAATGGGGGCCCATGAAAGGGGGGGGACCTCTACTCTCAACATACCAGGTTGCTAGGCCCCATTAATAGATGATAAAATATAAAGGGGTGGGAGTAACCTATGGAGGGAGAGATTTCTGAATTGGATACAGGAGCAACTGGGTAATGGATCTGATTGTACTACCTTTGGAACAGTGAACTAGATTTACTTAAAAAAGGAACATTTATCACAAGGACATTCTTCTTCATATAAAATTAGCTGATGCACTGTCCGTCTTTTAAAAAGTGTGGTTTTGATTTGCCATTTGGCTTAAGGGTGACATAACTACAGCCCTCCATTTGCAAGTACTTACGCATAGCACAAGTGTAAGGAGTGGAAAGCCCTTTGTTCATTATTAAAAAAGTGCCTGGATTAGGTTTGCCAACATATTTAACTTCAATCTTCTCAATTCGTGGATAAAGTGACAATTGTCTCTCTTTCTCTTTTGTGAAGAGCTCACTGCGCATCTGAGCAATCTCAGCTACTGAGAGTTGAGGAGCGGGAGCTGTTGAAACAAGCCCTGAAAATAAAATAAGTCTCATCAAACAGCATATTGCTTCATTTTAGTAAACAAAACAATCCCATGCCAAAACAGTTCCTTGGAAGCAAGCTCTAAGGATCTAAGTGGAATAGTAGATAATTTATATATTATCAAAAATGTTGCCGTAAACAAGATTTTGACAAGTTTTGAAACTATTAGGTAAGTTCATTACTCACCATCAATATCTATAATGAATAATCAGCATAAGAAAAAAGTACTTCATATATTCAGAAGTTCAAACATGTTCTTTAAATATACAATCCTATTAGACCTTACCAACAAGTCGGATCTAAAAGCAATACTGCTGTGCCAGTATTCAGGGGCCTTTCCACACATCCATATTTTCATAGCTAGAACTAACTTGATCCAGCTTAATAGCCTTATCACCACATGCTACATTAGGGAGAGAGCTATCAGTGTTGTACAGGAAATTACTATTAATATGTTCACTGCTGTAACTAAAGGAAGGGAGGAAATTTTCATCATGGTGTAGTGGTTATAGTATTGAACTAGTACTGAGGAGAACTAGTTTTGAATCCTCACTCACGTCATGAAGCTCACTTGGTGACCATGGGCAAGACACACTGCCCAACCTAACCTACCATACAGGGCTGTTGTGAGCATAATTGGGAAAGGAGAAGTATGTACCGGCTTGAGCTCTTTCGAAGAAATACATAAAATACATTTCAAAGTCCAAAAAATGGTGCAGGAGTTACGGCAAACCCTTTAAAAGTTGTGGGATGGAATAATCACAGTGTTTTTCCTCCTCCCACTTTAACACAAAACAAAAGGCATTTTTTAAAAAGGCAGGCGTGTCCCTGTAAATGTTTAGGGTGCCGCTATTATCTGTCCACTAATATATATGCCAGTCAAATTATTCATACCATACAAAAAGGATGGGCCCTGCTCACAGCACAAAGATTCTGCATACTGCACAAGAGCACGCCACAAAAGTGCCCTACCCCAGCAGCACACACTGCCCTAACCACAAATCAGACTTCCTTTTCGTCCTATTGAAACTTAGCAAAACATAAGGTTTACCAAGCTGCAATATCTCTGGAGAGAGAGAGAGGAAGAGGAAGGACCACGGCGCTACCCACAAAGAGCAAAACTGGATCCAAAGCTCACAGCCTCTGAACTCGTTATGAACCTTCAGGGTTCAGCTTGGAATACATGAGGCGCCTACCTCATTTGGCTTAAAAATTAAAGATACAACCAGGCCCCAGCGTGCAAAAAAAAAATCATGCTTCCGAAGGGCAAAGGGGTGAGTGGGAAACCAGCATTTCTTCACTTGGGAAAGCAAAGCACTGCAGCTCCCCACGTGCTGAAATGGGACATGCAAATCACTTGGGAATGGAAAGGGGCAACGTTTCTCTCCCCACACCCGCCAGCCTGACCCAGCCATTCCCTGGCGCACTTACTCCGGCTGCAGCCTCGCCACAGTCCGCGGCTTCTCCAAAGAGAAGCCATCGCCAGGCGGATCCTTCGCCCCTCGAAGCCCGGCGCAAGCGGAGCACCAACAGTCGTCGCCTTCCGGAAAACAGCGGCTGCGAAACAAAGGTTCCGCCTCTCTTTCCCAGCGCGGCTCGTGACGGCTCCCCCCCCCCTCCCCCCGCAGCTTCTGGAAACGGCCCCTCGTGGGCTATGCGTTTGGAAGGAGCGGGCTGAGGCGCCTGCTCCTCTCTCGCCTGCTCGAGCGATTCTTTCAGCCCGTTTTGTCAGCTGCAGGTGGACAGGCAGAAATGCAAGAGGTGTAGCAATGGGCAGAGCTACTATGCCTATTTCTGTCCGCTGTGCAGCTGCTGCAAGGAAACTGGCCAGGAGACGGAGGGGTTGAAAACGGACTCTTTCTCTGTTCATACAGTGATCACCACCAACCAGGCGCCTTGGCACCCGCAAAGGCTTTCGCGGATGCCTCAGGTGCCCTAAACTGACCCTGAGCTTTCTTTAAAAAGAAAAAGTATGTCTCTAACCCTAGAAAGTTATAGGGCAAAATGGGCAGGTACCATCTAAGTCGGGCATCCCCAACCTGTGGCCCTCCAGATGTTTTAGCCTACAACTCCTATGATCCCTAGCTAACAGGACCAGTGGTCAGTGGTGATGGGAACTGTAGTCCAAAACATCTGGAGGGCCAAAGGTTGGGGGTGCCTGATCTAAGTCATTTCTGTGAAATATGAGTGTGTGTGTGTGGCTTGGCCACTTTGTGTAATTTTCCAGGTACTGGGGGATGCTGCCTATTGCTATTCAACAGCGACAGTGTTTGTGGAGATCGCCACAATATTGATTTTACATGCACAACTAGGACTAGCAGAACATAGCTGACATCCCATGGTAAGCACAAGGAGCATCAAGAGCAGCTGTCTCTAGTTTTGTGTTGTGCCAAGCTCACCATGGCAGCCATTTCGTGTAATGCCATTTTCCCCAACAGCTATTTTGCGACTGGCGCCCCCAGCATTCAGTCAACCCCTGGCATATATTATATCAGCACTGACTGGTTTGTAGAGCTGCCCCCTTGTGCCCCACCATCACCACCAAAAAAACACAGCACTGGTGGGGGGGGCCACCAAATTTTGGCATCACACAGGGCGCTGCTGGAATTTGAGATTCCCAAGGTCTGCCACTGTACATAGTGTGAATGTCTGCAAGGACAAAACCGTTGTACGTAGAGCTGTACATATGAAAACTTCCATGTTATCCAGAGCATGAAGCAACTAGAAAGGGTAAAAATAAATATTCGGATCAGAATGTAAATTCAAGCAGTTACATCTGACTTCTGCATTGTCACACGCAGCAAGTGAGAGGACACCATTAATTGGATCAACTGCGCTGGACAGTTTTCGATACTGGAAGCAGTTTTTCAGATTGCACACAACTCTGTCAGACAAAGGCAATGTACTCATTAGCAGTTTAAAAGACAATGAGGTCATCCCCTCCCCACCCATACATTTAAATTTGCTTTTTAACATTGCTGTACATACCAGATAGGGGGGTGAGGATTTCTTCACCTGATGTGCATTACCTGATTGGTTGCCCTGCACCAAATTCCAGTGGAGCTGTCATCTCATGCATAATGACTGTCTCAAATGTACACACTTCAGCTTAACTGTGGCTTAAGTTTTCAGATCAGATGAAGCAATTTGAGGGGAAACACATCTAAACACAGTAAACTACAAGATACATATGGATTGTGGCTAATATCATGTGTACTTGGCTTCAAACCCCAGTGGTGGGAGCGCATTGCAGCTGGAATAAATGTGCAGAGCCTTAGTTTAGGAGACCAAAATAAACATTGAAGATGCTAGATAATTGGCCTGATCATTATCCAGTTACAAAGGATTCCTGCTCAGTGCTGTTGGCATGGAGATATCCTAGACTAAATCAAAGATGGCATTCTAATGTCTTGTATGGTGTCACAAATGGAATATACTCAAAGTCATAATAATAATAATAATAATAATAATAATAATAATATGTATTTATATCCCGCCCATCTGGTTGGGTTTCCCCAGCCACTCTGGGCAGCTCCCAAGAGAATATTAAAAACACTATAAAACATCACACAATAAGAAACAACTTCTAAAGGAATCTGAACACTGGGAAGATGGATAATCTTTGTGACAAGTGATATTGGATGTATATATTTTTTTCCATAGAGGAAGAGGTTTAGAATGATTTGCAGACTGAGTAGTCGGCTCATAACTCATCAAATTCAGATGATCAATAGAAACTCTGGTTATCTTGCCCAGAAAAGAGTTAATCTTATTTGGGACTTTGGGAGCTGATTCATGCTACTATCTTGGAGATGTTAACCCACCATATTGTGACTCTTCCATCTAATGCTTTGAAGGGAAATTCATATCATAACATTATTTTTTTTACTATTTTGCAGGACCTGGTAACTGTGTTACCATATGGAGACTTTTTCACAGGATCCTTTTTGCCATGTTATATATTGAGGTGCGGACGCAGGTGGCGCTGTGGGTTAAAGCCTCAGCACCTAGGACTTGCCGATCGAAAGGTCGGCGGTTCGAATCCCTGCGGCGGGGTGCGCTCCTGTCGTTCGGTCCCAGCGCCTGCCAACCTAGCAGTTCGAAAGCACCTTCGGGTGCAAGTAGATAAATAGGGACCGCTTACTAGCGGGAAGGTAAACGGTGTTCCGTGTGCTGCGCTGGCCTGCCAGAGCAGCGATGTCACGCTGGCCACGTGACCCGGAAGTGTCTGCGGACAGCACTGGCTCCCGGCCTATAGAGTGAGATGAGCGCACAACCCTAGAGTCTGGCAAGACTGGCCCATACGGGCAGGGGTACCTTTACCTTTACCTTTTATATTGAGGTGCAGATCATTTGAAAATGCTTGTAAGAACCATCTTGGCCGACCTCGTTCAAATAAATGAAAGTTACTTGTGGTTTTAACAATAATTATGGATTCTCAAAAGTGTATCCACATTCCGTGAGGCTAATTCCTGTCACCCTCATTCCTCAACTTAACTTTTGACCACTCTAGTATGCTGGTTCAATGTTTCAAGAGTTTGAGAAGGGAGGGATTCCTGTTCTGTCTATAGATGGGGCACATCCTCAACAGGAGCCCACAAACAGCTGTCCAGAAGTTTTAGCTAACATTGCTAAGGAAGTTCTGCCCAAATGGTGCTCACATATGGACCTCACCCTGGATGAGAGGAGAAATGCTGAAGTATGGTAGTAAATCGGTGACAGCCTATATATACCAAGCTTGCAATCTTAACAAATAAAATTCATTCGGTTCTTACAATTGTTTGGGAGGAGCAGGCTCCATTTGGGTAACATCTAATTTTGTGCTTGTGCTAAAGTAGCAGCTTTTTTTCTTTCGTTTGCTGCTAGAAGGCTCCATTTTAGAAGTTGTTGCTGGTCTTAATTTCATTTCAGAAAAACACCTTAGAACACTTCAATGCTTTCATCAAGTTCCACTGAGCTTATCCTGCTTGTGACATCATACACGGCCTCAGAATTCCATGTTTGCTTTTAACCTAAGTTATCTCCATGCCAACAGCAGTGACCAGTAAACTTCTGAAACATAACCATCAGCCTGCCTTTCCAGCAACTGGGACATTTCCTTTTGCTTTTTTATATTAAAGCGTGATGGAAGAGTTCCTGTGTTAGCTGGAAGCATTTTATGGACATTTTCTCAACCCAACTCCAGTTGCTGTTGCTGCTGCTTTCTGTTTGGTATAAATAACAGTCTCTAAGAGGAAGATTATGAGAATCTATGAAATTGATCAGAGAGTGTGTCTGGATCAACCATGGTGAGGTTATGTGTTTAATAAGTGAGGTAGTTAAAAAGATAGGCTTCTGCACTTGCTAAGGAACAATGGATGCTTCTTAAAGGACTGAATTCCTGCTCCTTAAGGATGGAGGCCATTTTTTTTGTATTTTGTTTCTTTCTGATAACGAGGATACAGCCAGCAAGATTGGGGCACAAGCATATGTATGTGTGTGTGTAAATCTTGCTGGCTGTATTTTCTTTTTGTTTGTGTGTGTGTGCACGCGCGTTATCTCCCCACCCTTTGCATTCCACTTTCCCTCTCCATTTCCCTCTCACCTTTCTCCTCCTTCTCCATTCTTCTTTCTGTCAGACTCATCTAGGGACAAATGTCTATTAAGACCAGGCTGGGAAGAGACTATACCTATAAAGATGTGGCCTTCATTCTTTTGGATAAAAGTTGGTAGATCCACTGCTGGATTAAACTCCCTTCCTATTAATCATGGATAATGAGACCTTTCAAGTAGAGCTATATTTTTCTTCATCTCTTACAAAATTCCAGCCCCAATATTGGAAGCTGTTTTGGATTCCAGAGCATTTTCTTTTTATGGAAATTACCCTTTCAGTTATTATCTTTTTTTTTCACCTTTTGATTTGACTGCATGCCATGAGCCAAAGGAAGCCAATGCTTGCCCTAAAGACCACTTCTTCACAACTTCCATGAGATAGAACTGTTTTTGTAATTTTGACTGCATGTCAACATTTATTTTATGTCCTGGACAACACTGAGGTTTTTTTGTTTTTTTTTATGAAGGACAAAGCTGCAATCATCTGTGGAGCAATTATAAATTGGCCTTTTTGTAGATGATGGAGAGATGTAACGTCTTGGATGGCAAAAGACAAACAGCCACACCAGCAGAAAAATTGATATAGTTGTTAGAGACATTGTTTCATTCCCCCCCCCCCAGCACACTTTCATTTAGGCATGCACCTCTTAATTCCATGGTACAAATTATCCTGGGTTCACTTCCTTTTTCATGGTTAAGAGTTTGTTTTGAATAGTTTGTTTTCATTATATATTTGGATTATAATATAATAATTGTAATGTTTGGAGATTTTGAATTTCTTTAATTAAAAAATAAAACTTGTTTCTTTTCATAGACTTTTATTTTTGCGGGGGGGGGGTAATTTGACATTCCCTCTCATGTGCAAACAGTTGTTCATTATATTTGCTTTTTACCTTAGATTCGTATGCAGAAATTCTCCAAACACAAATCTGTAAAATGACCAAGTTCCAACAGCCTTTGATCAGTTTGGCTGGTACCACAGTTGGCATATTTGACGAACCTCATAACAAAAGCCAGCCACTGATGACATGATGGAGACCACAATAGGAACCAAAATGGCATGGTTTGATATTTTAATGTGTAGCTAGGGAAGGAGTGGCTTGCTAGTCTATGGTCTCGGGAACAGGAGTAGATAGCTCAACATTTCAAGTATCCATTGGATCCATGCTGGGTAAAGATGATGGCACCTCAGGTGTTTGCAGGCAACAAGTAAATATCTTTATGGGGACAAATTCAGACAGTGGTATCTCTCGTCCTATATAGTGTCCTTTCACCACTACCCCCAGGTTATCTCTCATGGCGCACCAGGACAGACCCATCAGGGATCATAGGCTCAGCTCTCTTTTGCTGCTCCTCCTCTGCTGTTCTTTCCTAGCCTCTGGCTTTCTGTGATAGTCTAGTTCTCCAAATGTATGCATTTAAATAAATATAAGCAGCTTTCCCGAACGTGCATTTTTATACCTTCTTTTCATGAATGTATACATTTCATGCACACTTACCCACATGCATTTTTGTAGAGACCTGCATTGCCAAATTTGGAGACGTGTGAATTTCAAAGAATGGTTGGTTGTCCTTTCGCTGATGTATTGTTTTGGAACGTGTGAAATAGGCAGGTTGACATTTAAATATGAACTGAATCAAATTTCTCCCTCAAGGTTTATCTACTTCATAGAAGGCAGATGGGTAGCCTGTGGCCCCTGGCTCATTTTCATGCGGCCATTGGCCTGATTTCATGTATATGGAAAAGAGGGAAGAACAAGGGGAGAAGAGATAGCACAAAGGGAGAGAATAGCGGGTGGCAGAAAGTTGGAGAGGAAGGAGTGACAAAAAGAGAGAAAGCAAAGAGGTTTGGCGGGGAGAGAAAAGGGGGTGCCTAACCCAGTTTTGGCTCTGAGAAGTTAACCCCAGGGGAACAGTGCCCTCGACAGAGAAGAGATTGCCCCCAATGAGAAGAACAAACATTGTTCTTTTGTTATCATTTAGTGCAGGAACACCCAATAGCAGTGAATTTCCTTTATTTCTCATCCAGGCCAAATCTTTTTCAAGTGGCAGACAATTGATGGCTTTAGGCATTTTGCCAAAACCTGATTCTTTAGCAAGGCCTTGAGCTGAAAAACTTTTCTTTCCTCGCTATGAATAGGTTAAGGCTGTTTTCCTTTCTCTCTTAAGTTCTGGGGTTTTATTAGTTGCTTTCAGCAGAGAGGGATAATTATTGTTTGGGGATTTTGTGCATGTGTTTCAATCGCCCTCCGGAGCAGGCTTTGAGGGTGTGCAGAAGCACATAGGCTGGAGGAGAGGCAGATGAATTCCCATTGCACAGGAGAAACCCTGTTTGTGCAGTGTTGGATTCCACCCTGTTTATATCTTATGTTATTAAAATATTAACATAGAAACTTATTCATAATTAAATTATTGATTAAAATGGATTAAAGCACTTTGTTGCTCTAGTACAGGGGTGACCAATGTGGTGCCATCAAGATGCTGATGGACTACAACTCCCATCATCCCTGACTACTGGCTGGGGCTGATGAGAGTTGCAGTCTGTCAACATCAGGAGGATACATACTCACTTTAGAGAAGAAACTTAGAGAAGTATTGAGGAAGTGAATGAAAATGTGGGGAATGAGCAAATCGAACACTCTGCAAGCAAATCAGGATGAATGCTCAATAAAGACCAGATATAGTCTAACTTCAGGCTTTGTGCAAGCAAATTGGGATGAACACTCAATGAACAAGTCATTGGGAGGAGCCTTGTAAGACAACTGTACTGTTACAGTATGTGATGGCCACCAATTTGGATGGCTTTAAAAAAGGATCAGACAAATTCATTAAGAAAGCTGTTGATGGTTACTAGCCAGAATGGCTCTGCTCTACTTCCACAGCTGGAGGCAGCAATGCTTCTGAATACCAGTTGAGGCATACTGGGGGGGGGGGGGATATGCTCTTGTGTTCAGACCCTTATTGCAGGTTTCAAACTGGCATCTTGGGTGGCCACTATGGAAATAGGATGCTCAACTAGATGGGCCATTGGCCCGATGATGCAGCTGGCTCTTCTTATGCTCCTAAAATGAGATATGTTCTCATGTTGCATTAATATAGCACGGGACTGAATCCAGCACCATCAGTCAATGCAGCACAGTGCACTTCAACTAGTGCCAGCACATGGCAAAGCTGGACAGCTGCCTCCCAAGAGCTGATGTTTGGAGAGTTAACTGAAGTGTGTTTCTGACATGTTAAAATCCCTAGCCCGTTTCTGATGCAATCCTGACCATGCCTACTCAGATATTGATGTCAGTGGAGCTTACTGCTAGGTGACTGAGGTTAGGATTGCAGCCGCAGTCTTCCAGGACCAGGGAATCCACTCTTGCTTTCTTTATTGAAGGACCACACACACACACACACACACACACACACACAGGAAAGGAAACTGGTGGTGTTCTAGGCAATAGGTATGAGATCATTTTGATGCAAGATGGGCCATCAAAGGGTTGCCTGGCGGGATGTACTAAGAGGAACAGCAAGAATGCTCACTGGAAACAATGGGATACAACTGAAGGTGCACAGGGGATAATGGGAGCTCCTGATCGTTTGTTTCAATAGATAACCTGTTGCTTTCTTTATGGGCCTTAGAAAAGGGGGGCTGACCTTTGGCCAGCAACCGTCTTTCAGCCTACCTCACAGGGATGTGAGGCAAAAATGTAAAGGGAGAAAGCATGTACACCACCTTGGAGAAAAGCTGGGCTATAACGACATAAATGAAGATGTGCTAGATAAAAATTAAGCCCCCACTGAACTGTAATACCCGATGGAATGGGAGGCTAGACGCCGCGTGGGGCAGCGGTGAAGAGTGTCGGGCTAAGATATGGGCGGCGATGAGGGTTCAAATCCCCACTCGGCCATGAAGCTCCCTGGGGCAGTCACTGCCTCTCAGCCAACCTCCCTCGCAGGGTTGTTGGGGAGATTTAATGAGGAGCAGGAGAACCACGTGCGCCACCTCGAGCTCCTTCGAGAAAAGGGGGGTATGTCGATGCAATAAGGAAATCTGGTACGGGCTTGTTGTCCGGTAAAGAGGCAAAAAGCGCTCGCTCTCTCTGTCTCCAGCGCCTTCAAAAAGCAGCGCGATCCCTTCCCTCTCCTCGGCTGCTTCTGGCCGCCCCTTCTGCTGAGAAGTTGCTGAGAAGAGTTAAAGGCAACAGCCGTCGATGTGCAAAGGGGAGGGGGGCAGAGGGGCGAGGCAGGGGAGGCTGAGCAGCTCGGGCCCGTCCCTCTCCGCCTAGGACCCAGCAGAAACCCCTGCCCATCTCCCCGGCTGGACGGGAGAGGCGCCGCCCCCCTCCCCTGCTCGAGGGGCCCGGGCGGAGGGAGGGAGGGTGGAGCCGGAGAACGCGATCCCCCCCCCCGTCCAGCTGCGTCGCCAGGCTCTCTTTCCCCGCCCCCGGCCCCTTCCCTCGTGGGGGCGAAAGGAAAAGCGGCGAGCCAGCTGTTGCTGCGAAGATGGCGAGCCGCCGCGTCTTCTGGCTGCTCTTCTGGCACTTGGGCTTCCTGGGCTGTAAGTCGCTTCTCTGTCTTGGCCTCTCCTTCCCCGTAGGGCAGCGGCTCTCCCTCTTTCTCTCCTGGGGGGAGAGGGCGCTCAGCTCGCCTGGAAACCCCCAAGTCCTTCCTCGCCGCCGCGCAGCCAAGTTCGCCGCCTTCTTGCGAGGAGCACCTGGTTGTTCTTTCCAGGGAGCGACGCCAGCAAGTGGCTCGCTCTCTTTTCGCTTACAAAAGGTCCACCTCCTCCTGGTAGGGAAGCGCAACCTCGCCTCTCCCGGCTTCTCTGGTCTGTCTCCTCTTTCTGGCTGACTCTTCCTACTAGGCGGTACTGCCGCGAAGCAGAGGACGGGGCTCGCCCTCCCCCGCCCCAGCCGCCGCTCGATTTGATTTGATTAGCGAGGCCGGCTGGAAACGCGCTGGCGGCCCCAGGAGGCAGGCGCACGCGGCGGGGAAGCCGAGGCTTAAAGCGGAGCGGCGCCTGCTGGGGGTCTGTTAACCAGGCAGGGCCGCAGGAGGGCACCGGGGTCAGCTGGTGTCAATTCCCAACGCGCGCTTTGATTGAGAACGCTGCAGTCTTAGGATGCTCATTTGCCCAAAGCGTTTAAGGTGCATGGGCGTGTCCCTTCACACTTGCCTTGCTTCTAAGCCTGTATGAGAATTGGTTGGAAGGAGACTGCTGGGCACACCGACTGTGGAGTGAGACCCGTGGAATCTGGGGAAAGATAGCTATTATGAAGAAGGAGTTTGGGGTATTTGGGAGATGGGGACCAGGGGCTCTCCACAAGTGCTTTTGTCCTCCCGCTCCTATGAGCCACAGCTAACTTCACCAATGGTCAGGACTGTTGGGAGTTGTGGAATTGTGAGGGCCTCCGTTTCCCCAGCCCTATTCTAAAGTGTGTTTTGAAAGTGGTTGAAAGCCTTGTTTTGCAGTTTTGAGACTAGAAATCTGGCTTTATTTTAAAGTGGGATTTCTACTTTGTTTAGGAGAGGGGAAATCCTGTACATTTTTACTTGCGAGTTGGCTCACCTGAGCTCAGTGGGACTAAGTTCTGAGGCAACATGCCTAGGATCTGGCTATATATAAGACTTACTCCAGGCTTCCTCAGCCTCAGCCCTCCAGCTAGCAGTGGTCAGGGATGATGGGAATTGTAGTCTCAAAACATCTGGAGGGCCGAGGCTGAGGAAGCCTGACTTATTCCCATGGAAGATTGCAGCTGTGACACACAATCCTTAAGACTGGATTCACTCCACTGATTACTGTGGACTCACAGTGTTTTCAGTGCTGGGTTGTAAATCCATATTCACACAAATTGAAGCCCAGATGTGAACAACTGGAGTGGGGGGAAGCTGTGAAAAGCACGGTCAGGGGAACTAACTTCACTGTACTCTAAGACTGTAAAGTAAGCACACCTGAAGTTTCACTGAGTTCAGTGGTGCTTTCTCCCAAGTACGTATAGGATTCTGCAGCCATGCACCATGAACCGAAACATCTCACTTGGGACTAAACCTAGAGTTTGTCTGATAAATGTGCCTTAGGCAGTTGACTTGGAAGTAAAATACATTGAACAAGTGGGCTGTACATTGGTTGTATATTGTGTGAAGAAATACAAAAGAGACTCGTGGGCTTGGCAACTATATTATTTATTACTTGACCTAAACCACTGAGCCTTGGGCTTGCCGATCAGAAGGTCGGCGGTTTGAATCCCCGCGATGGGGTGAGCTCCCGTTGCTTGGTCCTAGCTCCTGCAAACCTAGTACTTCAAAAGCACATCAAAGTCAAGTACAGTGGTACCTCGGGTTAAGTACTTAATTCTTTCCGGAGGTCTGTTCTTAACCTGAAACTGTTCTTAACCTGGAGCACCACTTGAGCTAATGGGGCGTCCTGCTGCCTCCGTGCCGCCGGAGCATGATTTCTGTTCTCATCCTGAAGCAAAGTTCTTAACCTGAAGCACTATTTTTGGGTTAGCGGAGTCTGTAACCTGAAACGTATGTAACCTGAAGCGTATGTAACCTGAGGTACCACTGTAGATAAATAGGTACTGCTCCAGCGGGAAGGTAAATGGCATTTCTGTGCACTGCTCTGGTTTGCCAGAAGCGGCTTGGTCATGCTGGCCACATGACCCGGAAGCTGTCTGTGGACAAACAACGGCTCCCTTGGCCAGTAAAGCAAGATGAGTGCCGCAACCCCAGAGTCGTCCACGACTGGACTTAATGGTCAGGGGTCCCTTTATCTTTACTAAAGGAATTGTTGGAAAAAATTGCAAAAGGAAAGGTGCACAAAGTGAGATTTTGATGTGCCTGAAACTGAAACTTTTAAGAGACTTAAATTTTTATATCGCAATTCACAAGATTATTCAAAATGATTTGTGTGCTAAAGCATTTTCTTTTGTGTTTCAGAAAGATAATCAAGCATTGTTGTGATACTTAATCTTGCAATTTAAAATAAATTCAGCAGTTTCAGATTCTGTGCTTTTCATCTTTTCTAGAAGAAACCTGTTTTTGAAAATTGAAGTTAGCCGTTTGGGGGAGAGTTGCATGTAGTTAGTCTTGCCTAGGGTTCAAAATAACCTGGCACCAGCACATTAAAGCACATTCAAAGCACATTATTTCCCTCACAGAATTATGGACACTGTAATTTACTCCTCACAGAGCAATTCCCAGCAACCATTAACAAACAACAGTGCCCCAAAGGACTGGTCTTCAACTCGTGGGTCACAGCCTGATCCAAGGTGGGTTGCAACAGGAGCACTACCACCCTGCAAATGTATGGTAAAAGATTAAGAAATGGGTCCCCAAATGCATGTTTGGGTTAAAAGTCGGTCCTAGGTCTGAAAATATTGAAGATATGTTTTAAAGGTATAACAACATCTTCAAACATCCACATCAAACTGGTTAAGGAATCAAAACATTCATTCCTTTCTTAGGAGTGTTATGAAACATATGGGGGGTTGTTTTGTTTTTATTTTTCTTTAAAAAAGATTGTCAGAGCCCCTGAAAGCAAAAGTAGCAAGCATGAAAACAATCAAAAGCATGCCCTCAAAGATTATGTTTTCTCTTGATAAATATAACTTCAATGAAGATAAGAGGGGGGAAGTGGAGAAAAATGCCCCACCCAAGAACTGTGTTGAACACAGATAGGTGAAGCCAAACCACACAGCTGTGAAAACAATGTGTATTGAAATATGTCAGATATCTGACTAGTATGCTTGTTAAGCTTTAATTCCCGGCACATTTGGTACTTTGTACTTGTACACTGTAGTGATTTCAAATTGATGTGATTATTGGAAGATTTGATATGTTTCTGCTTTGATGGCTTAATATAATTTTAGAAATTGTTCCCTGTCTGCATTTTCCCTGTCCCAAGATCCTTCCATAAATCAGGATTACACCTATCAATGAAAGATACCTTCCTCGTAGCATTTTTCACACAAGATGCAAATTACTTTGATATTGTGTTGGGAACTGATTTTAATCTCAATTAAGCTTTGTATAGTAAAGAATTGTTCCAGAGCTATCCAAAGTTTATAAACTGAAATTGTACTGTTATGAATCTATGGGTGCAAGACACCCTGAATTCTGGATTAAGTTGGTGTTAGAATTTAATTAATGTTGGGCTGTTGGAACAGGGAAGTAGCAAGACCTGTGTGTGTTTAAGATGTGTGTTAGCTGCTATTAATCCTCTGGAATTAGCGTATGCGGTTAGACAATTAACCTAGGCAAAGTACAGAAGTTGTGTATCAGCCACCCTCTTTAATCCAAGGCAGTCAAAACAAAGTTAGTTTTGTTTGAGGCAATAACCTGGGGGGTAATGATCCATTAGCACAACAAAGCATCAAAGAACTAGGCGTAAGAATGCAAAGACCAGGGTTTAGGTTAGCAAGCGCATAACAGGTGGGATGTGGCAGGGCAGGGATGATGCTGCTGCCTTTGGAAGAAGCTGGCGTCCACTTGGGATGTGATGTTTGAAACCTCCACAGCAGGCACTGGTTTTATATGTGCGTAAATAAACCATATATCATAAAGACGCCACAGTGGAATGCATCCACTGTGAAACTTGAAACTCCTAGAGCTGTATCCGGATAAGTTCTACTCAGAGCTGTTGTTGGCATCTGTCTGTCTCGGGAGACAATGGAGTGTGCCTCCGAAGGTGAAGTCAAACCACTGGAGAATCACAGAAATTAATGGACTTGCTACTACTATTTTTAAGTATGCTACGAACTTGATGGACACTTTCAAATCCTGCCACATATTTACAGAAAAGCCAGGCTGGTAGTTGCCAGGGACGTGGATAAATTGCATTGACAAGCCGTTAACTCTCAACTTCCAGTTTTTCAACTGTAAGAAAGGATATGATGATGGTAATGATAATAATGGTTGTCAAATACTGCACACTTAAAAGTGCTACATAAATGGTAAGCCAGGATAAGTCTTGCTACATTTGACAGTACTGTAAAGTGCAATTCTCTTCTGCTTTGTTGAGAAGCTTCATGGGCTCTCTTAAATACTAATCCTGAATCTGAACAAAGAAAAGTTCTCAGCATTTTTTGTATTTGCCAGTTTTGTTGCAAAGCTGAGGTAATGCAATCTGCTGCAGTTTCCTGAGTCTAAAGCCCTGCAGAAAAAAAGCCATGAAGGTTGGGGTTCTTCTTCTTTGTAAGATCCTGGGTCAGCGTGCTAATATTCATGAATGGTTTTTCTACTTTACTGCCTTTGTAAGAGCTTGGAGCAGTGAGCTGCATAGCAACGGAGGCTTCCTTAGAGATTCACCTTCAGCGGCAGGCTCTTCCTTTTGTATAAAAGAAGGGAAGTGAAAAATGCAACAGTTGAGGCCACTTAAAAGTAGCACTGTTAACCCAACAAATGAGGTACAGAGCAAAATGCTGTGCTGCTGTGTGTTTTCCTGTTTGCCTTGCCATTGTTCTGTGTCATCTGTATCCTATCTGCCCTGTGTGCGTTTGCTTTTTGTATAAACAGTTGTTTTTAAAAAGACCTAAATAAGGGCTTGAATTGAAAGTTTGCAATTGTTAGCTTACTACAAAAGGTGCCAGTTGATCTTTATCATACAAACATTGCTTTCTGTTTTTAAATTATTATTTTTTTTAAAAAGGAAGATTACATGACATTGTTTTTGCATTATTATGTAAAACTTTAAGGGTTTAATTCTAGATTCCAACAGTAGTTCAGGGCACTGCAATGTCTGCAGAAGGCAATCTGTAGCTCCACACTGGCTCACATGCTTTGCAAGCACATAGTCCAATGCTCAGTCCCCCATACGTCTTGTTCAAGGATAGCTAATGTGGCTTCCTCAAATGTTGGCAGCAGGGCCAATGGTCAGGATTGATGGGAGTTGTGCTCCAACAATGCTTGGCAGGCCACATGTTCCCAATCCCTGATGTAGTGGGTGACATATTGGTTGCTTAGTTATTATTATTTTATTATTAATTACATTTCTATACTGCCCTTCATCCAAAGATCACAGGATGATTTATAATATGAAAATACAAAAAGCACATACAATAAACAAACAAACAAATACACAACAATACCCATAGATTGTTTTATTAGCCAAAGGCCTGGAAAAAGAGGAATGTTTTTGCCTGGCACCTAAAGATATGTAGCGAGGCTTTGAGAGTCAGCTTGGCTGCAGTCTGTTTTGGAATTGATAAATTACTGGCTACCAGTGCACCAACAATATCTGAAGGGCCCCGGGTTGGCTAGCTTTGCTCTAGTTCATGGGTAGGCAAACTAAGGCCCGGGGGCCGGATCCGGCCCAATTGCCTTCTAAATCCAGCCTGTGGATGGTCCAGGAATCAGCGTGTTTTTACATGAGTAGAATGTGTCCTTTTATTTAAAATGCATCTCTGGATTATTTGTGGGGCATAGAAATTTGTTCATCCCCCCCCAAAGAAAATATAGTCTGGCCCCCCACAAGGTCTGAAGGACAGTGCACCAGCCCCCTGCTGAAAAAGTTTGCTCTAGTTAAAGCATCTTCCATGGTGTAGCTGTAGAAGAGATGTCTGGTGGGTTGCTGCCTCTGAAGAAGCTGTTCTGGGTTTGATGTTTCCAATGGTCTGAGCAGTATAACGTGTACCGAGTCCAGTGTACTGTGTATTGAAGCCAGGGAGCCTGTGTGCTGAAGCCCAGATGGCTTCCATAATCTAGTCAAAGGGTTTCATCAAATACTGCTGTTCCACTAGCACAGCAGACTACCCTAATGGGACTTTTCTCTCATTTTCTTCAGTTTCCCATGCACCATCAAAATCTGCTCCAAGGAATTGGAGAACTCCCTGCCCCAGAGCTGAATATGAGGTTGTGCAGAGAAGGGAGAGGAAAGTACAAGTAGCATTCTGCACACGCGCGCGCGCACACACAAACGCACAAATAGTAATCTGCGAGGTGTAGCAATCATGGCAGTGTGTAGGATGGCTGTAGTCAAATGAGGAAGTAGTTCTTATATCCGTAGCAGTTGTACAGGTGAGGAAATTCTGGCCACTCTATCTTTCCCTAGCACATCATGCACCAACACAAAATTATTTCCTCTACACAATTATCGTATACATGATACATGTGTTGTACAAAGGTGCAACAGGGTTTGCAATCTTAGTGGATCTTGCATTCCTGTAAAAAAAATTAAAGACATGATGCATTTTAGTTTTGCAGCCATTTGGACAACATTTGCATTTTTAGGCTTCATAAATTGGCAGCGTTTCCAACAACTTTGTTGCTATGGAAATAAACTCTGTGCAGCTCTTACAATAGCAGTGTAAATCGATTATTTGTGAGACACTAAGCTTTTTTTAAGACGCCTGACCCCCATTTTCCTATTCATTGCCAAGAAACAGAAGAGGCAGCAAAAATCTCAAGCCTGGTTCAAAGTTAAGTTTGGGCATTTTTATCCTGTTGATGTTTACCCAAAAAACCTGAAAAATATTTATTCAATTTATAAATCAAAAGCATTATGGGAAGAAAAAGGATATTTGTGCAGAATCTTCAAAGTTTTCTGTTAATGAATTGTGTCCTTAATTCATAGATGTATTTAATAATATTGTGCTCAAGGAACTCAGTGCAACTCCCACTGAAAGCAAGTGGTTAATGAGGTTGGATAGGTCTTGAAATTTTAGTTTCTAATTTCACCTCCCCCTGCCCCCCCCAATTCCATCTTAAATTCAGTTCACCACATTCCTATATCAGTTTGTGGTGGTGGTGTTTGTTTTTAAATTCTCTTGAAAATATGTCTTTATTTTAGTGCATATTTCTCTTAATATGCACTTTGCATGCAATTTTGCCTAAGAGGGTGTCTTTTTCGTTGACGTTTTCACTAATGTAATGCATTTTATGTACGCTTTCCCCTGATATGCACATTTTTAATACACATTTTTGGAGTTGATGAACTGCATTGCAAAATTTGCAGGACTGTGAATTACTTTTGGGAAGTGAGAATTGGGTAGATCCAGATTAAAATCCAAACCAAACTGAATTTCTTCCCCATCCTAGTGGTTGATAATGTGTGCTGGTAAAGGTCCAAGCCTGCAAGAACAGTGTGCATACATCTCAGGTCCAGGATGCTTTTTAAATACATATATTTAAACATGTGTTACCTTACATGTGATTTTGTGTGTGCATGTATTGCATTCAGAAAGGTGGTTCATGTGAGGTCTGCCCTACTGGATTCACAAAAAAACAAAACATTTGTTTTAGCTTTGAAAAGTTCTAGTCAAAATTTCCCCACCCCACCTTTTGTCTGAGCTTTCTTGTTATTTAATTCTCAGTGATGTGTATAAGGAGTCTTTCAGTTAACGTTTTTATAAATGTCTCTGTTCAGAATTCTGGAACACATTCACGGTTCCTAAAAATGTTTCCAAAGTAACTGAAGACAAGGGTGAAAGTTTGCATGCATCTGTTTTTTCTCCTGAAAATGGCAAACAGTAAACTATTTCAATGGGGGGGGGGGACAGTACTTACTAGCAACCAGCAAAAACAGTAGTAGAAAAAATGCTGACTTTTGAAATATATGTATATTTATTTCCCTCTAAGTATACTGCCTATATTATTATAGCAGCGGTGGTAAGACTAACTATAAATTGCATAGTGGAAACACACATTTTATTTAATGCACAAACACATGCATACATTTCCTAGATTATTTATTAGTTTAAATCAAAGTAGAAAAATGGTGGGGAAGGGGTAGCCAGAAAAAGGTTTCATAACTTTAGATGAAAACGTGTAGTCATCTTTAGAAGCAGTAAGCTTTAGATGAATTGTGGGTATGTATTCAAAAAGCCTTATGCATGCAGCCCAGATTGGTTTCAGTGGGACTGAAGTGAAACAAACTTGGCCTGGCTCCAACAGAGCTGTTAGCACACTCAGATGCAGAGTGTCATTAGAGGGAGTGCTTATATTAATATTCCATGTGGAATCACCACACTTGGTATGGTCTGACCTATAAATGGGAGCGAATCGTAATATTTATGGAAGGGATCTGAAATGCAGCCCCCTAAATTGAAAGGTTCTCAAGACTTTCACCATCCCTATTGGATAATCCTCAGTCTTCCCTGAAAAGACCAGAGAATATCATTTCCAGTTGCACAACTTGGCTGCGCAACTTAGAATCATTGTTGAGCTGTAGTCATAACATGAAAATTATAACCTTTCCCTCCCTCTGCCTTCTTTGGCTGGTTGAAGTATTGATGTTGAGAATTGTGCGAAAGGATGTTGTAGTGCCACAGTACAAAAAACTGCTTATCCCTGGTGTTGCTCAGCTGAAACCTGAGTGATTCTTTTAAGGGCAATTTACATTTCATCTGATGGTTAAATACTATAATCCAGAACTGTACCTAGAGTTAAAATACAGGGGACATTTGGCACTGATGCAGGTGTATGCAGTGGCGTAGCGTGGGGGGTGCAGGGGGGGCCGGCCGCACCGGGCGCAACATCTGGGGTTAGGGCAAATCCACGGGTTAGGGTGCGCAAATCCACGGGTTAGGGGGCGCAAATTACTTGCCTTGCCCCGGGTGCTGACAACCCACGCTACGCCGCTGGGTGTATGAAAATAAGAATTGCACTTGTAGATTAAAAGAAGAAAAGGACTCTGAAATACATTTGCACATGAATGATTAAAAAAACTTAACTAGTTAGTTTGATCTCCTTTGCAGGCAACATGATTTAAGCAAACAGTCCAACTGTATGACTGCAGAGCACATTTATTTGATTTTTTTTTAAAGTGAACGGACATTTCTTTTCCCTTTCAGATTATAAAGCGTATGGAATCGTCGTAGAGACAGACACGAAAGATGTTACAGCGAATGAATTTGAGGGTACAGTATGTGTATGACTGTGTACGTCTTATATCAATGGATAAGTGAAAGTCCTGAGATTAATTTTAAAAGGCTGTTTGATAAAAGTGCAGTGGAGTGATGCAATGGATACAGGAGCAACAAAATGAAGTTGGATTGTATATGAAAAAAAGTAATCCCATATGTCCCCCTCAACTGAGTGTCCCCAAATCTATTCTATTCCCAAGCCTCCGGAGCAGATTTTGTGTGCATGTGCGGTGGGGGGGGGGGTTCAGAGAGAGAAGAGCAGGAAGAACTTTGGTTGCATAAGCAGAAGTCCTTGCATAAACAGGGTGACTTTGTTACATACAAACCTGTGGGTGCTTCCAGACAGGTGTTTGGTGTGAAATTGCTGTTTCAAGTTTTTTGCAATGTCTATACAATATCATTGGCGTTGAAATGCCAGCCTGTACTTCTCCCTATTTAATAGAGTTGCTTTTCCTGGGGCAAATCCGAATTATTATTTTTTTTTAAAAACAACAACATAAGCTTGAGATTTCAGAACAAACCTTTTTTGCAGCCCATCTGATCCAGCAGAACTTAACAGTTTTTAAAGTTCCATTGATTTTAATGGGTGAAATTGCAATATATGCTTAATCCCATCAGTTGAAACCATTAGGATTTGATAGTGCTTGACATGGACCACATTGTAACCACTTTGGGTAAGTGTCAACAGACAAGTCCACACCATTGTTCTTTGGGAGCGTCCCACAAATTACAGAAAAGATTTCTAAGATTAGAATATTAAGAATCCAACCAATTTCTGGGGAGGGGGGCAGCCATTGGGAAGGCCCTAGATTTTTCTATGTCCCACCAAACTGTCCACTACTGAATTTACTTTGCTGGAATATTCAGATTCAGTTTGGCTTTTCTTTTTTGGAGTGTGTTGCTTTTTGTCCTTCTAGGCAACATGCACTGGGGACTCATGGTGACTGCTTGCTTCCAATGCTCTGGAGCCCAGGGAAAAGGGACTCTCAGAACTCTGTAATGGAGGCATGTTACTCCCCCCCCCCGCCTTAGGGGAGAAACCATTTAGAAACACTCTCTTTTATGTTCTGAATTTCAAGTGATCTAATTTTCTAATCATATAACTTTTTAAATAAAATATATCACTATACACCTCTTCTTGATTTTAACCCACTTTGCCTAATGTCACTTAAAATTGTTATACAATACTGGTAAATGGATTATTTGCGTTTGTGTGAGAGAAAGTGAGGCACGAATGCATTTTACAGGGCAAATTGGGGGGGGATTCATTAATTATTGGACATTAATTATAAGGACCTATGCTTAGGACCTACGGTTTCTGAAACTTTTGAAATACAAACAAAAGAACTGGTTCAAGCTGTGAACCTAGGGGGTAGGAAATACGAAGGCTTGGCTCCAGGCCTTCTGTACACATACTATTAATATTCTCTACCAGTGCACAGCCACAGTCAGTGTTCTTTAGGGTCACAATTCATGCAGCGTAAAGGTAAAACTGTACAGACTTGGCTGTTGCCCTTCGTGAATGGAATGTGCCCCTGGGAACGCTTCCAGAATCGTCTGCAACATGCACAGCAGGGATGGGGGAACTTTTTCAACTTGGGGGCCACATTTCCTGCTGGGCAGCCTTCCTGGGGCCAGATGCCAGTGATGGGCAGGGCCAGAGGCAAAAGTGAACAGAGTGACAAATGTGAATTCTGTACTTGTACAGTAGGCTAGCTTCTTCACACACTCACATTCCCCCCCCCGTCCTCTATTTGTACAAGCAAGAGGCATAACCAGAATTAAAGAACTTACTCTAGCCCAGCAAAAACAGTGAAGGAAGGTGTGAAGCAGGGCTGACAAGGGGTGTGGCCTGGGGTGTGAGGGTGTGGCTAGGGAGGGTGTGTGAGTTGAGGAGAATCCCATGGGCCAGATGCAGAGGTGTGGAGGGTCATATGTGGCTGCAGGTCTGAGGTTCCCCACCTATCATAGACAGACTCCATTGCAGATGTGCATGGATTCATTGACAGAGAAGTCAATATGAAAAGCTAGGCGATGACTCTAAAATCACAAGATGCCTTTAATATAATGAGAAGAAGCTATAAAGGGAATGTGTACTTGCAATGCATGGAACTCTGTACACAACCCTGTAGAGTTTGGGTTATTGTCAGAATCATGTGCTTTGAGTCTGTTTTAACAATTAATCTCTGAACAAATGTTTTCTCGCTCTCTCTTTCTGTATTTTTCTTTTCATTTCCCACCCATGTGTGTATATCTCTCTGCATGTTTTGTTTTGTTTGAGTATCTTTATTGGCTGTTCTGCTGTGGACTGCCAAGAAAGGTCACTTGGCATCGTTTAGGCTGTTATCCCCTTCCACAGCATTTCCCCTTGCCAGAACAAAATGGGAACTAGTACGGTCTGCCAACTGTAACAAATATAGACGACCTGATGTGAAATAAAGAACATGGGTCCTCTGTGGAAGAGTCAGTAATTGTGTTAGTCCGATCGTTTTCTGAGTTAGTGGCTTTGCATTTGCTGTGATTGATTTGAAAGATACTACCGTAAAGCCACACTTAACGTTTGTCCCATGTTTTCTTCTATTTGTCCCATGATTTCTATTTATTTTTTTTTAATAATATTTTTTATTGCTTTATTTTCCAAGGTCAGAATACATCGTCAATAACACAACAAAAGCTGTTTTACAAAAAGAAAGAAGAAATTAAATAAAAGAAAATTCATTTTTCCAAATCTTTTTCCATCATCAACTGGACTTCCCCACATCTTCCATCCCTGCATTCTTTACAATAAAAAGTGAACAGCAAATTAATACCTTGTTTCATGTGTTTTTGTACTTTCATCTAATTATTTACTCTAAAATTTAAACTTTTCTCAGTCATAACTTAATTTCAATCATTTCCGAATCTCAATACCGAAGCATGTTTTTCTCAAAACTTAGCAAATTCTCAACATTCATATAGCTTATAATGTTTTTGTAGATAGTCCTTAAATTTTTTCCAATCCTCTTCCACTGCCTCTTCTCCCAGGTCTCGGATTCTGCCAGTCATTTCAGCCAATTCCATGTAATCCATCAGTTGCGTGTGCCACTCTTCCAGCGTGGGTAGCTCCTGTGCCTTCCAGTATTTGGCTATAAGGATTCTTGCTGCTGTAGTTGCATATAAAAAAAAAGTTCTATCTTTCTTTGGCACTCTCTGGCCTACAATGCCCAGGAGGAAGGCCTCTGGTTTCTTATGAAAGGTATACTTAAATACCTTTTTCAACTCGTTATAAATCATTTCCCAAAAAGCCTTCACCCTCGGGCATGTCCACCAAAGGTGAAAGAATGTTCCTTCAGCCTCCTTACATTTCCAACATTTATTGTCAGACAAATGATATATCTTTGCAAGTTTGACTGGGGTCATGTACCACCTGTACATCATTTTCATAATGTTTTCTTTTAAGGCACTACATGCCGTAAATTTCATACCGGTGGTCCATAACCTTTCCCAGTCTTCAAACATAATGTTGTACCCAATATCTTGTGCCCATTTTATCATGGCTGATTTAACTGTCTCGTCTTGGGTATTCCATTTAAGCAACAAGTTATACATTCTTGAAAGCACTTTCGTCTTAGCTTCAAGTAGTTCTAACTCTAATTTTGATTTTTCCACCTGGAAACCAATTTTTTTGTCCTTTTTAAAGATCTCTAAAATTTGGGCGTAATGAAACCAGTCTCACACCTTTCCTTTCAATTTTTCAAAACTCTGCAACCTCCAAGTGTCACCCACTCTTTCTATTATTTCACAGTATTTTGCCCAGCCACCCCCCATATTAAGTATTTTTGTGGCCTTAGCCTCCATCGGTGATAGCCACCTCGGAGTCTTGTTTTCGAGTAAGTCCTTGTATTTAGTCCAGACAGTAAATAAAGATTTCCTGACAATATGGTTTTTAAACAACTTATGAAACTTTACCTTGTCATACCACAAATATGCATGCCACCCAAAAGCGTTGTTAAACCCTTCCAGATCTAGGACATCAGTGTTTTCTAACAAAAACCAATCTTTCATCCAGCAGAAGGATGCAGCTTCATAGTACAACCTTAAGTCCGGCAGGGCAAATCCCCCTCTTTCCTTTGCATCTGTTAGTATTTTAAATTTTATTCGGGGCTTTTTGCCTTGCCAGACAAACTTCATAATGTCCCTCTGCCACTTTCCAAAACACTCCACTCTGTCCACGATCTGCAGGGCCTGAAACAGAAACAACATTCTTGGCAATACATTCATCTTAACTGCTGCAATTCTTCCCAACAAGGAAAGTTTCAGTCTTGACCAGATTTCTAAGTCCTTTTTAATTTCAGACCAACATTTTTCATAATTATCTTTGAACAAATTCAAATTTTTCCCAGTCAAGTTAACCCCCAGGTATTTCACTTTTTTAACCACATTTAATTCTGTTTCCTTCTGGAACCCATCTATTTCTGAAGGTGTCAAGTTTTTTACCAGGACCTTAGTTTTTTGTTTGTTTAACTTGAATCCCGCCACCCGACCAAACTCAGAGATTAGTTCTAAAGCTCTTTTTGTGCTGGGTTCTGGCTCCTGTAATGTCAAAACCAAATCATCTGCAAAAGCCTTCAGTTTATATTGTTTTCCTCCGACCTGTATTCCTTCCACCCGCTGGTCCTTCCTAATCAAGTTCAGCAAAACCTCCAGGACAGAAATAAATAGCAAGGGTGATAAGGGGCACCCCTGTCGTGTTCCTTTTTCAATTTTGAACTCCTCTGTCACCACATTGTTTACTATCAATTTAGCTTTTTGTTCTGAATAGATTGCTTCAATACCATTTTGGAACGCCCTTCCCACTCCCATCCCTTTCAAATTTTTCTTCATAAATTTCCAGGATATGTTATCAAAGGCCTTCTCCGCGTCTATGAATATCAAAACTGCTTTCGTATTCAAATTTGTCTGTAGTAATTCCAAAACATCAACAATATTCCTAGTGTTGTCAGACAAATGCCTACCAGGGAGAAAGCCTGCTTGGTCTTTATGAATTACTTCGTTTAAAACTTTTTTCAGTCTATTTGCCAAGATATCAGCAAAGATCTTGTAATCCACGTTTAGGAGTGAGATGGGACGGTAGTTCTTAAGTTGAGTCTTTTCAGATTCCAATTTTGGTATCAAAGTGATGAATGCCTCTTTCCACGATTCTGGTGCCCCCTTCCCTTCCATAATTTGGTTGCATACCTCCATTAGTGGCTGGGTCAAATATTCCTTCAATGTCTTATAATATTTGGAGGTAAGTCCATCTGGGCCTGGGGATTTGCCTAATTGCATATTCTGAATGGCACTTTCAATTTCCTGTTGTGTTATTTTGTAATTCAGGGCTGTTTGTTTATCTTGTGTTAGTTTTTGCAGGCCGTAGCTTTTTAAAAATTTATTTATCTCAGTCTCCACTTGGGGTCCTTGAGTAAACAATTTTTTGAAGTATCTCTGGAAACACTTTCTAATTTCTTCTGGTTTCTGAATACATTCTCCTTCAACCTCTAGATTGGTAACAAAGTTCAATTTTTGTCTCTTTTTCAGCTGCCATGAGAGCAGCTTCCCACATTTATTTGCCGATTCGAATGATCTTTGTTTCATCTGTTTAATTTTCCATTCAACTTCTTGATTTATCAGTTTGTCCCATGATTTCTAGACACAGGTCTAATGAATTTTTCTTTAATTCTGCTGCTTTCCCTGGGAAAACCCACTGTTTACTGCTGAATCAGAACAAACATCAATCCACAGAAAACCTTATTGATGTTTGATCTGATTCAGCAGTAAACTGCAGGTTTTCCTGGGAAAAGTGGTGGAGCAAAAGAAAAACCTCCCAGACTTATTCCTAGAAATCATATTACAAACAGAAGTGAAGATGAATCATTAGACATTGTACTTCCTCTTGACAGTTTCTTTCTTTGTCTTTTCTGGATCTATTTGTTATTGTTTTTTCAGAAATATTTCCATCTGTCCTTATCCACATTCCATTTTATCTTTATTGCCAATTCTCTCATCCACACCCTTCTCAGATTTGCAGTTTTGTTTTTCTTCTTGAGTGACCACCCATGTCAGCTATTCATTCGTGTGTGTGTGTGTGTGTGTGTGTGTGTGTGTATCCCCCTGTCATCTACAGTTTTATGCTTTTATCTTTCTTCCCTTACAAATATAAAAGTTTAGGAACCTTCCCCCCCCCCCCGGAGAAATGCCAGGGAGAAACCATCTTTGAAAAGGTTTGTCTTTAAAATTAGGCTGCATGAACAAGAGCAAAATAGCTTCCCCACTGTGCAGATTTGAAATTCTGAAATCCCATATCCCTCCTCTCGTTTTTAATTCTATAATATTAGCAATATGAGAACCAGCCAAATAAAATACTTGTAAGAATAGAACACAGTGGTCTCGTAACTTTCCTTTCTTAAAAGCATAATAAAACATTAAGAAAAGACTACTTGCTGCAGGCATTTCAGGAAAGACACCACCTATTCCGCTCAATCAGAACTTCGGAAACAAAAGCATTTCCACTGCTTTGCTGTGGAAGTCTGTCATATGAATGTTGTTTATGATTTCCTGGAGCAGGATAAGAGCCCATCATTAGAACTTCTTTTAACATGCTTTTGAAATGCAACAAATGTTCTTTTGGGTGGAGTAATATGGGGCTTATATGCACATTGCATGAGCAATATGGGGTTACATCTAATTGATTGAGAAAGTTTCCAAAATGGCCACAACAGTGCGTGTGTGAATAAAGTGTCCTGCTACTATTTGCAGGCATCAGTAATATAACACAATAGCTGGCCGATTTCACCACCTAACCTTGTAGCTGCTTTTATGCTCAGAATGTGTAATTGCAAAGTCAGTAAGTATGTCTTTCATTCTTATTCTTTTAACATTTGCAACATGGAAAGTTGTAGGCGTGAATGAAGAAATGAGACTGTACATGGAATTAGACTTTAATTATAGGGAACCAAGCCGGGCCACTGCTGGTACCTGCCGCCACTGCTGGTACCTGCCACTGTACACATACATCATGTGTGCATAAACAGGGAGGAAAAACTATTGGGTACAAGATCATCTCCCACAATTACCTTTGCAGGTTAAGACATTGTGGGTTTTTTCCACACTAATAAACCACAGCCAGGAAGCCAAGAACCTTGGCTTCACATCATAGTTTGTTTGGAGTCAAGCAAACTAAATTTCTTGGTTCTGACATAATCCTAAACCAGGGATTGTGGTTTGTTGCTCCTGCTTGTGCTAGGAGAGGGAGCAAAATGGGAGCTATCTGCATGTTCACGTTACACATTAACCATGGTTTACCATCATGTGTGAACACAGCTAATCAGGGCTGACCCAAGACATTTTGGTTCCTGAGGTGAAGCACAAAATAGCGCCCCTTCCTTGCCTGGGAAGAAGTGGGGAGTGAAGCTGTGTATTAGGAACAAGGGGTGACTAAAGATCTACATGTGATCCTTTTCTTGAAGGCCAGATCTGCTGCTGTTGATTCTGCTACCTGAGGTGATTGCCTCACCTTGCCTCATGGATGGGCCAGTCCTGCTGCCAATGAATTCCTTCAAATTCCTTGCTTCTTAAGTATCAATCAGCCTTTAGAGATGAATAATCATTATGGTCTTAGTGAGAAAGATGAAGACTGTAAAATGCTTGATGATTCACAACTTGTTTAGTGCTCTTGATGTTTAGCTTTTCTGATGTTTAGCAATTGCTTGGCTTCTTTGGATTTATTTTTGTACTACTGTAATCTTAGGGGCGCCTCTCATCCCACATGTTGTGTTTATACAGTGGTACCTCAGGTTAAGTACTTAATTCATTCTGGAGGTCCGTTCTTAACCTGAAACTGTTCTTAACCTGAAGCACCACTTTAGCTAATGAGGCCTCCTGTTGCTGCTGCACCGCTGGAGCACAATTTCTGTTCTCATCCTGAAGCAAAGTTCTTAACCCGAGGTACTATTTCTGGGTTAGCGGAGTCTGTAACCTGAAGCATATGTAACCTGAGGTACCACTGTATATGGATTTCTTTCTGTAAAATTCCCATGCCACCTGCAGAATCTGAAAGGCTTGGGTCCAGATATCTTAAGAGTTATGCACCAAAATTCTGAATCGGTGCACACTTTGGGCATGATGAGAAGTTTGTGCATTCTGTACTCCAGTGTATACACACAAAATGTATATGGACTGTTAATCTGTAGAGTCATTCTACAAAAGTTAGTTCTGAAAGTGTGCCAGTTGTTTGTAGTGTATTCCAACTCAGAGCAGAAACAATGACGTATTTTCCCCTCTGCAGAGGCATTTCTAAGCTGTAAACACAATGAAGGGAAGGAAGCTACAAGAGTAGAATGGAAAAAAATTACCAAAACTGGAGTTACATTTGTCTACTTTGAAGGTTCCTTTGTTGGTAAGAAAATGCTTACATTTATGTTTGTGTGTGTGTTTACTGTGCTGCTGAGGGCTTGTGTCCTTCATGTGAAATGTTCCCATGTTCAGGATTGCATGGAGAAATCACAGGATGTACATGGATTTATTTTTTACTGTTCTAACCAATTCTCCTCCCAAGAAGGTCAAGATGACGTACATTGTTCTTTCCTTCCATTTAACTCAACCCTGTGAGTTACGTTAAGCTAGGAGTTACCAGCTGGCCCAAGGTCACCCAGCAAGCTTCAAAGCTGAATGGGCATTTGAACCCGAGTCTCATGGATTGAGCTTGTAGCTCTAGCAGCCATTTCCATGACTGTGAATCAACTGTAGAAATAGCTGCTGCCTACTTTGCTGAACAAGAGGATAGCCTGTTTGGCTCACATGTTCCTTTTAGTCATAGGCACATTTCTTAATAGATAAATCAAATAAAATTGATTTGACTGCCTGACGTGACGTAAGATTTATTTAATTAAGTGACATTCCCTATATGTGTGTGTGTTTGTGTGTGGAGTAACTAGTTAACAGAACATACATATTGCATTCTGCTGTTGTAGAGTTCTTGTGTGTCACTGAAAATCTCCCATCCTTTGTTTCAAGGGTTGCTCAAACACTTGAAAGGCAAAGTCGCACATATGTGGCTTTCCTCCATTTTCCATTCATGTTCCTGACTGTCCTGACTAACCCTTCTTCAAACAGCTAACATCCACACTCAAGCATCCCATTCCATCTGTAGCTTGGCTTACTCTGTCTTGTAGTGTTGTCTGCTGTTGTAACAGTTTTGAGGGAGAAATGAGAAAAAGCATGCATCTCATGTGTGAACCTGCCTTTAAGTCACAAATTAGGTCTTGCACAAAATGGCTCCTCTGCTTTCAGTGGTGTCATATCGAATACGCTCTGAGCATCTGTATGGGGGAGAGAATGGGGTGGGAAATCGGGGGATGAGGAATTAAAGGGGGACACTGCCAGCAGTCACAGCCCTGTAGCAGCAACCACAAAACATGTCCTGATAGCCACTAGCTGCTATTTTGCCCTAACAATTTCCCCCCAGAAAAGGAGTTATATGATTAGGATATATAGCAGGAGTTGCCAACTCAGTGCCTGGGAGCCATGGCATCCACAAACGCCTTCATTTGGATTAATAATGGCATTGATAATAAACAGGGTACTTGTGTCTTTAACAGCTGTATGACTGATAGTGGCTGATAGTTCTCATTTGAAAACTTTCTGCTGCAACATATGAAAGCTTGCAATGTATCGAAATTGCATGCGAAATATGTGTTTGAGACACCAAATCCCTTAATAAACTAGCTCATATGAATGGAGTGTTGGAAGGTCTTAGGGAGAAAATAAATATCGTGGGGAATGGCAGGTAGAGAGCCACTGGCATTGTATTCTGGAAAACCAGTCTTTCCCCCCTAATTGTTTTCTACATTTATAAAGCAAACTTGAGGAAGTTCCTTTCTAGCCATTGCTCTCTGTCTTGATTGTTTTGCAGGTGATTTTAAAAAGCGAGGAGAAAGAGTGCAATCAAGCATCCGCATTAAAAATGTGACTAGAAAGGATTCTGGGAAATACCGTTGTGAAATTAGTGCATCCACGGAACATGGACAACAAATAGGGGAAGTTATAGTCTCTCTCTTAGTGTTGGGTAAGAATCTAAACAAAGCTATTTTGAGGTAACACTATTCAGTAGTACATTTCTTCTTACATTTTGTTTGCCATCCGATTACAGAAGGGGTACAATAAAATATCCAGTTTTTGTGTGTGAGAGAGTGTGTGTGTACAGAAACCCCCTGTAAAAATAATGTTTGATTTTATATCATCTTACTGTTATCTGAAATGTACACATCCATTGGGCCTGGGATAATTTTTGTTAAATTAATGGTATGAACCAGACTTTAAAGCCAACCATTTTGTAAAGAGATAAGTAGCTGAGAACTAATTTTAGACATTCTGAAATAGATTATTTAAAATGTATGAATGGGGTTGTATCCAGAGAGGACTCACTGAAAATACATGATTAAGTTCATTGATTTCAGTGGGTCTACTCTGAGGAGTAGTATTTAGATGTTAGTTTGATACAACCGATTATATTTTATCTCTAGTTGTGGAAGAGAAAGTCTGGACATAATGCACCTCAGATCAGTATTTTGTTTACAACTAAAGATTATATTACATTTGCTGATTCATTGTTAAAAAATCTTGAGCACTGGCTTACATCAAACTTCCGTCGGACAATGCCAGAGGCGAGGAACAGTACGCATACAATGTGATCCATAAACCACTCAGTCCAGCTGCCTTTATTAGAGCAACTTGTGAGCAAATAGGCAGGTTTAGCCATTCAGATATTTTACTTTGAAACAGATCATGTCATTTCCTAGTCCCACCAGCTCCTCCTGCTTGTGAAGTGCCCAGCTCAGCTATGACGGGGACAGTAGTGGAGCTGCGCTGTAAAGAAAACAATGGTGTTCCTGCGTCAAAGTACAGATGGTATAGGAATGGCGTTCTTCTGCCGGAAAGCCCAGCATTGCGGAGCATTAAAAAAGAGAGACTTCCTTATATCATGAATGCTACAACTGGAACTCTGGTTAGTGAACCTCTGCTCAATACCACTTATCATTGGACTTTACTTAGCCCAAGAAAAGGCTTAACATTCTACTGAGGAAATTCAACATAGTATCAGGACCCTACTGTGTGGTTTTGGGGTTTTTTGCCTCACAGTTGCATAGAGATATAGTAAATAGGAGCTCTTTCAGTCACCTTGCATCCTACACGTTGTATATCTTTTGATATATAGCTCAGAACCAGTATGATGCGTTGCTGATTCACCCATAGGATGATAAAATAGATTGACGAGTATGAGAAAATGTTAGGAAAATGGGATATATTTTACAAAGCGGAGATATGTACTTATCTCACCAAATGTCTGCTGCAGTAACTGAATTGGCTCATCCACGCTTCTGTTTGTCTGGTGATTTCTAAGCATGGGTCCAAGAGGTTTTTCTTTTGTTTACTGCTGAATTGGAACAAATGTCAATCTGCAGAAAACCCAACTGATGTTTGATCCATGAGCACTTCTTATTTCTGCTACACACCAATTTTCAGAACTGTTTCATTTCTCTCTCCTCCCCCTAAAAAGGTTGAAAGCAGTTTGGCCAAAAATATTGGTGTGCTGGCACTGCTTTGGCCACCCTCTCCCATCCCTTAGATCAGTTGTCACTGTCAGACTGGACAGTCATTTTGCATTCTGAAAAACTGTGACATATACTCATTGGTTTTCAAACAGCTTAGTTCTCGAACATTTTGGCTCCTGAACATCACAAACCTGGAAGTGACTGTTCCAGTTTGCAAACTATTTTTGGAAGCCAAATGTCTGACGGGGCTTCTGCGGCTTCCGATTGGCCGCAGGAGCTTCCTGTAGCCAATCAGATGCCACATTTGGGTTTCGGAACGTTTTGGAAGTCGAACAGACTTCTGGAACGGATTCCGTTCGACTTCCAAGGTACGACTGTATTCTAAATCCACTTCATTGATGATGTTGGTGATGATGATGATGATAATGCAATGGCATAATGTACTAGAAATGTTGTCTCACTTTTGACTGCTCACTCCCATTTTTTTTAAAAGCTGGAATATTCTACTTCTTTCTCTTTTTTTTACACCAGCTATTCAATTCTGTTTCAAAGAATGACACTGGAGAGTACTACTGTGAAGCTGACAATAAAGTTGGACAGCCTCAGAAATGTTCTGTAAAGCGAATGCAAGTTGGTAAATGTCAAATTCCAATGTGACCAACCAACCTTGAGATGAGAATGTCTTAATTACAAGACAGAGTTAGGAAACTAAAAAGTGTTAGTTCACCTTCCAGCTTCAAACTCGGTTATGTGGCACATCTTTTAAGGCTCAGTTTGGATGATTAATAAAAAGAGAAAATATTTTAAGCAAAAAAATACATTTTACAGGACACTGCCACAATTTAAAGTAAGTTTTCTTGAAAAAATATACCGGGGGGGGGGGTACCCAAGAGAACGGCCTGCACCTAAACCGTTCCCTTAAATAGGCTAGGAGTAAACCCCTGCCTCTGATTGGCTTAGCTAGCGCTGTCTCCCCCAGCTGCGCCACAAGATGGTGGCCTCCACAGATCCAAGTGGTCATTGTGGCACCATTTTTAGAAAGAAGGATCCAGGGTAGTGAGGACTGCAACTTGAAATGCCTTTAGATGCACCTTTGCAAATGGAAACACAGGGAGCATATAATATTTTCACTAACTTCAGTTACTGGACCAGCTGTGTAGAGTGATTATCTGGCCATAGTTATTATAGTTTAACAAACAGTCGCTCTTCCCAGGGCTCTACTGAAGGGAGAGGGAAGGGTTGCTTCTATATATTTTTGTACCTTTGCTTCTATATTTTGTACCTTTGCTTTCTATATCTTATACCTAAGAAGGATCTTCATATTCTCTGTAAGTTAATTTCTGAGCTGAGGGCCCCTCAAGGAATGCAAGATAAGACAGAGACTGTAAGCCAGAAATAGCCTCGCCTTAGGAATGTAAGGTAAAAAAAAAGACACAGACGGGAGGAGACGGGGGGATGCAGGACGCTTAGAAAGAACAATAGGGAGGGCTGTTTTAGAAGGCTATAGACATGCTAAAAATAAGTTGAAAACTTTTTCAGGAGGGCGTGGGGAGGAGGGAGAGAGCCCACTCAAGGTATAAGAAAATCTGCAGAGGGGTGTTTCTGGGCAGTCAGTTTTTCCAGAATTTATTCTGCTGGCTGTCTCCTGTGCACAGAGAATAAAACTGCTTTCCTCCAAAGAAGGATCTTTCCTGGAGTTTTCTTTTACTCTCTCTCTGGATCTGAGGACGCGGGCCAACGATTCCCTGGCATGGACTAGGCTCAGCCTACATCTTGGTTCCCTGACCGGGAATCTGCCCCACCTCAGAGGGCTGGAGAGAGCCAGGCTCAACCTGGTGGACAGCTCAGATCGGTGATTGCAGGCTCCACGCGCGCACCCTACCAATTTGTGGGGGGAGCCAGCCACACCGCTCCAGAGCAAGGACCCAGGTCGAGGGAGGAAAGAGGACTGGCCAGGGAAAGGAATCTGCAGCAAAAAAAAAACGGTAAGCCCAAGGGAAAGGCGTGGGCGTGGGGCCCCAAGGGAAAAGAGGGAGGCCTGATCAGCCTCACCTGGTTATGCAGTAGTGTGCAGCCAGGAAGGGAATGGTTATGCAGTAGTGTGCAGCCAGGAAGGGAATGGTTATGCAGTAGTGTGCAGCCAGGAAGGGAATGGTTATGCAGTAGTGTGCAGCCAGGAAGGGAATGGTTATGCAGTAGTGTGCAGCCAGGAAGGGAATGGTTGTGCAGTAGAGTGCCAGCCACCAGGAATAAAGGGGATTGGCTGCGCAGTAGAGTGCCAGCCACCAGGAATAAAGGGGACTGGTTGTGCAGGAGAGTGCCACCAGCAAAAATTTGGAACAGAAGAAGGAGGGAAATTATTTTGGTGTGTTTTGTGTATTGCATGCTGAAGTTATTTGGTGTGTTTAGTGTGTTGCATGTTGAAATTATATTGATGTGATTTGTATGTTGTATGTTGCTATGTTGCATGTCAGATACTCCAGTGACTGAATTGTTGTTAAGTGTGAAGGTTGGGGCTTAGCGTTCCCCTTGGGTGATTGCAGGGTAGAAGAAGTGCCACTGGTTTTGGTGTCGCCCAGAAAAAGCAGCAAAGGGTGCTGCTAGGGCCCCGGTCGAAGTCTAAGCGCTGCCGGTTATGGTTGGTTGTTGGTTTTGTGCCCAGAAGAAGCAGTAAAAAAAAGGTGCCCTTGGGCCCCGGTCGAAGTTGTGAAGCACTGCCGGTTGTGATTTTGGTTTTTTTTGGGGAAAAAAGGGGTTGGGGGAAGGTGCATGGGTTTTTCTGAATGTGCGTGTGGGGACACTCCAGTGAATGTTTTGAGTGTGTGAGACGTTGAAAGCAACGTCTGGCCTGTGACTGAGTGAAAAATAACGTTAGGAGGAGGGAGTGTCCCAGTATCCCAAGTGTCCAAGTGTTCCAGGGTCATGGAGAAAAAGCAGTAAAACAACTCCCATGACCCCCCTGCAATGCTTTCCTGAACAAATTGAAAAGATGCCACGAAGGGAGAAGATTGGGGATTTTAAAAAAAACCTGATGAAAAATAGACTCCAACACTTATGTGGAGTTCCTAACCGTCTCCCATGGCTTAAGAAAAGTAGAACTGTGATTACCTGTGCCTGCCAAACTGTGCCCAGTATGGCAGCAAGTACAAGTTAAAAGCCAGCAGTTTTTGCCAGTCCCAGAAGAGAAGTCCCAGAAGAAAAGGAGGAAGGAATCATTAGCCCCCCTCCACCCTATGCAGCAACTGCACCAGGGCTAAATGAGGTTTCCCCTACCCAACCCCCAAGAAAAGAGACTGAGGGAGAAAAGAAAGAGAAGAGGAAAGTGAGGAAGAAGGTGGTATAGAGAATGAAGAATTCAGAAGGTGAAGTGGACAAGCAGTCCAAAAGAGTGTTTCAGTATGTAGAACCATGTGGCTTCTTGAGTTCTAGAAGCAGCACAATGCAAGGATGTGAACTGGCAGAAAGAAACAGAAGGGAAGGCTTTGAGAGCCGCATAGGACAGAACTGTTAAAAAAGAGACAATTAAAACCCAAGGATTTAAAACCCTAGAATTACAATTACTGACCATTGAGGAAATCTGCAAGAAAAATGCCCTCAGGGCAGCGGACAATACTGATGTTGCAATTGAGGCAGCTAATAGTTGCAATTGAGGCAGCTAAAACTCCACTTTGATGGCCCCACTCCACTGAGTGTACGACCCCCTGGAGTCATCCGATGCCCAGGACCACAGACCTCCAAGCACCTTAAATCAGAATCCTTCTTTCGAAGAGGACCTGGCCAAAATAATTAGGGGTTTGTCTTCAAACAGCCAGCAGCCAGAAAGCCAAAAACGCAATCCTGGAGCAAGCGAGGGTGTCCACGGGAGGGTCAGAAGACGCCTAGGGAAGAAGCCAGTGCGCCATCTGCAGGCAAGGGAGTCATTGGGAAATGGAATGCCCACAGGCCCCACTCCCCACAGGCTGGGAACAACAAGATTTCTCAAAAATTTCATCTCTGTTCTTGCTCAAAAGACTGTTGCAGCAAAAAAGCAATTGAACAGACTGTTTTTTTTTTTTTAAAAAAAATATATATAAAATCATGCAAGTCACAGGACATCAGCTCCCCCCCCCCCTTTTGTGCCAGGCGCTTGGAGGTAGCTTCAGAGCGTTATCTTGAAGGGGTACAGTTAGGGTTACCCCAGAAAGCCCTAAAAACTGTTTGTGAATTCCCCCCCCAGCCAGGCCTTGGCGTACGCATTTTTAAAACTGCATATTCCTCTAAGACAAAAAGCATGAGCTAAGCAGTCCTCTCTGTAACAAAAACGCTGTAACAAACCCAGAGCTGAGAACAGAAAAGCTTTTCGCTTCCCAGATCCAAATAACCTTGGTCCTGGTACATTGACTTGCAACATACTTCTGGGAACAGAGCCAGAGAACGAAAAGCAACATTTCTATGTAAGAACCTGTAAAGGGGAAGAGGAAAAAAGGGGGTTTGAAAAAAGGATAAAACCTGCTTGTAAAATGTTTTCGGTGCGGCCTGTCTTTTGTGAACTGAATCACACAGGTGCCTTCTGCCCCTCCGGATGGCAGAATAAAACGCTCTTTCTCTGGATTAACCCCTTGGTATCGTTTGGCTCCTTTTGTCTCTGCTCGGGTGCAACAATTATTCCTACCCATGGATTAATAAGGCTACAATCTCTTGGCAGCTATTCCAAGAAGGACACTGCTGCATTCAGCCAGCTACCCTGTTGCCGGTAGGAGAAGGTGAGGAGCCCACGCATGACTGCATTGAAGTAATGAATGAGGTGTATTTTAGCAGGCCTGACCTTAAAGATGAAGCAGATCCCCAATGGCCGTCATGGTTTATGGATGGAAGCAGCTTCATTGAGGCTGGACACTGGAAGGCAGGCTATGCAGTGGTAGCCCTGGAAGACCAGGTGATCGAAGCAAAGTCACTCCCACCTGGAACATCGGCCCAGCTGGCAGAGCTAACTGCGCTTACCAGAGCCCTGAGCCTGGCAGAGGGACAGAAGATAAACATTTATACAGATTCTAAGTATGCATTCCTGACTTTACATGCCCATAGAGCCTTATGGAAAGAAAGAGGTTTGCTTACCTCCAGAGGAAACCAGGTGGCCCACCCACAAGCCTTATTGAACCTTCTGGATGCTGTATGGGAGCCTGAGGCAGTGGCAGTTATCCATTGTTATGGACACAAGACTGGACCAGGGGAAGTGGCCAGAGGAAATCGATTGGCAGACAAAGTGGCCAAAGAAGCAGCCCGGGAACTGGCCCCCGCCTTGGTTATTGGAGCACTGGTCCCAGAAGAGATTTTAAGCACTACTGACAAGCCAGCTTATACGAAGCAGGAAAGGGACACTGCAGACGCTCAGGAGTTGACGTTGTCCAACGAAGGATGGTACCTTACCCCTGATGACAGGATATGGATTCCAGAGTCCCTTCCTTGGCAGGTTACTCAGAGATACCATGATTCAACCCACATAGGACCAGATGCTACAACCAAGCAGCTGGAGAAGTGCTTCTATATAGCCCACCTCTATCAACTGGCAGCCCAGATTTCCAGGAAATGCCTGCTGTGTCAAAAGAATAATCCCAGAGCCGGACCACTGGCTCCCCCAGGGATTCAGCACAGTGGAACTGCACCTATGGAAGATCTTGTCGTGGACTTTACTGAATTACCCCGTTGTGGACTGCACCGCTACCTGCTGGTGGCAGTGTGCACCTACACCGGATGGGCCGAAGCATGGCCCACAAAGACTGAAAAGGCATTTGAAGTAACCAGGTGCCTGCTTAGGGAAATCATCCCTCGTTATGGACTGCCAAGGTCCATAGGATCTGGCAATGGACCAGCATTTGTTCATGCAGTCCTACAGGGACTGGCAAAAGCGCTCCAGATCAACTGGAAGCTGCATACTGCTTACAGACCCCAGAGTTCTGGAAAAGTAGAGAGAATGAACAGAACTCTAAAGAATCAGCTGTCCAAGCTGACACAGGAGACCGGGTCTAATTGGGTGACCATGTTGCCCTTGGCGTTACTCAGGGTCCGCAGTCTCCCGTCAAAACGGACCCATCTGTCACCCTTTGAAATTGTATTTAGGAGACCGGTCCCATATGTCAGAATATGCAACTGAATAATTAAGTCCAGATATTTTTCCGAGTTTTCTTTTGTCTCGACAGGTGGACCCAGGCTCGCAACCCCTGTGTGTTGGCTGCATCAGTTCGAGCCAGGTGACGAAGCGTAGGTGAAAGACTGGCAGCAAGCCCCCCTACAGCCTTGCTGGAGGAGACCATACACTGTGCTACTTTCTACACCTACTGCTGTGACGGTTGCTGGCATCACCCCGTGGGTCCACCCTACTCAGTAAAGAAAGCCATTTCAAACTGGACAGTTACACCAGATCCAGAGAACTCCCTTCGGCTGATTATCTCCAGATGCCTGGCAGACGACCGCTCTGCTGATATCACACCGGGAGCTGATATCTCAACGCACAGCTGAAGAATTGGATGGGAGGGGGCGCCCGCGGGCAGCGTCCCCAACGTGGAAGCCCGTGCCGGGACTAATCCAGGAAGTCCACCAGGACATTTAATATTTTCATAAGGACTTTTTATGTCCCACAGCCCTGACCCCACTGAGCCATACCGCCCTTACTGGCCTGCTGGCCTCTGCTACGACTGGTTCGTCTTGCCGGTGGTAAGAGATGGCGTGCTCATTGGCTATTGGAAACTGGGGTTTGATGAGGTTACCATATTAAGACACCCCACTACCCCGTTGTGGCTCCTCTTCCACACCACTGTCCAGCACGCGTGGATAGTGCTCATACGGGAAGTTGCAGAGACGGTCGAAATCTATCGAGTTCTGGACCGCTCTTGCTGTTGTGGGAGGGTAATCAACTGTTATCCGGGGGGTAGAGCACTGTACCAACCTCATCTGGCGGACCAGGTTCTAATCTTAATCCAGGCGATAGATGGGACGGAACCTATCTTAATGCAAGTACTGCAGGGGTGGGAGCCTTAACCAGGTGTGCGTTGAAATTGCTAAACAAATACCAGTACGAATTGCCACCCCAGGATTTCAGCTTCCATATGCCCTGGTCAGTAGGGAGGCAGCTCGAGAGTTCAATCTACCCAACAGGGTTGGTAGGAAAGTTGACCCACATAGTGGGAGCATCAGCTCACCGGTAGGCTCTCACCCTTGAGGAAGTTCACCACAATGTTAAATCTTTCCAATTGTTGGCTGTGTATGCACATACCACCTTATGCTAAACGGCCAGGTTTGATGCTACATGGAATTCCCATTGGTAACATCTTCAACATAGAGAGGAGTTTGTGTGCTAGTTCATTTTTATTGCTGCATGTTTATCCCAGATAATAATGTCAGCATTTCGGCCACAATTGACCACATGGAAACAATGATAGCTGAAAACCCGCTAAAAACTACAGAAGGTGATCCGTGGAATTGGTTATATTCTTGGTTGCCCGATGGTGGATGGGTGGGGAGGATATTTACTATGGTGATAGGTCCAATAATGCTTCTATTGCTTTTCTGCTTCTGTATGCCCTGCTTGATGCAATGTATGCAAAATATGATGGAGAAGATGATGTCTCGCATGATGGGACCTCGCGTGATTGCTTTCATGAGAGATTATAGACCCCTACCCCAGAACGAACCTAAGTATTAGGTTGTTCATAAGAAGAGGAGGGAGTGAAGGGAGAGGGAAGGGTTGCTTCTATATATTTTTGTACCTTTGCTTCTATATTTTGTACCTTTGCTTTCTATATCTTATACCTAAGAAGGATCTTCATATTCTCTGTAAGTTAATTTCTGAGCTGAGGGCCCCTCAAGGAATGCAAGATAAGACAGAGACTGTAAGCCAGAAATAGCCTCGCCTTAGGAATGTAAGGTAAAAAAAAAGACACAGACGGGAGGAGACGGGGGGATGCAGGACGCTTAGAAAGAACAATAGGGAGGGCTGTTTTAGAAGGCTATAGACATGCTAAAAATAAGTTGAAAACTTTTCAGGAGGGCGTGGGGAGGAGGGAGAGAGCCCACTCAAGGTATAAGAAAATCTGCAGAGGGGTGTTTTCTGGGCAGTCAGTTTTTCCAGAATTTATTCTGCTGGCTGTCTCCTGTGCACAGAGAATAAAACTGCTTTCCTCCAAAGAAGGATCTTTCCTGGAGTTTTCTTTTACTCTCTCTCTGGATCTGAGGACGCGGGCCAACGATTCCCTGGCATGGACTAGGCTCAGCCTACACTACCATGCCCTATTTGAGAGTGTATATATATCATGAATATTGCCTTCTATACTCAACCTCCAATTTGAAATTATATTTGTTTTGCTTTCCATTCTAGATGACCTTAATGTAGGTGGCATCATAGCTGCGGTGGTCATTGTGGCTTTGATAATAGCTTCCTGTGGTCTCGGGGTATATTATGCACAAAAGAAGGGCTACTTTTCAAGTAAGTGAAACTTCTTTCTTCCCGGATTGATCAGTAAGTTCCCGGGCTTAAATATTTGTGAACTGTGTGTGGTTGTGGGCCGGCAGAAGCCAAGGTGGTTTCGGAGCAGAGCTAGCACACATGGAAGGGGGTGGTAGGAAGGAGGGTGGTGGAAGGGGGCGATAGGAAAAGGGGGTGATAGGAAAATAAAAGGAAAAACAACTTTAGCCTTGGAAATAACAGCAGAACCAGCTGCCAGAAAGCAGTACTTCTGGTCTGCGTTGAAAGCTAATGTTTTTTCCATGTGGATGTATAATGAACAGTTCCTGTAAATAAAAGATGCTGCCCTTGTAATAACAGAGAGTTGGAGTCAGCGTTGCATGTTCTGTTTTCAACCCAGTTTTTATTAGAGGGTGGGTAGAGAACTTAGGATATACAATCTTCTGAGTCTTTATTGGAAGGCTCTAATTTTTTTAACCTTTAAGCTGGTGGCAAAATGTCTAAATATTGCAATTTCCCTCAGAAAATCTAGAATTGCTTTCTGACCACCCCCCCCCCGCTTTTAACAACCTTGGGTATTTTACATCTGTAACTGTTCAAGTTGTGGTGAGATTCAGCTAAGTTTGATCCAATCCAGGGTAGGCCTATTGAAATTAATGCTCCTAACTTAGTCATGTTGATTAATTTCAGTGACTGTACTCTGAGTAAAACTTAGCTGACTCCCTAGAGCCAGCCCACCCATGAGGCAGGGTGAAGCAGCTGCCTCAGGTGGCAGAAGCACAAAAGGCAGTGTCCCACCTGCCCCACCACTTCTGGTACTTGCTGTTGCCGCTTGTCTGCCCTGCCTCTGGGTGGAGAAGATGAGTGTCAAGGCATTGTGAAATGCTTTTCTCTTGCCAAGTGTTGGCCAGGGTGGTGTTCCACCACCGATGGAAATCGGGGGGGGGGGGCATAGTGGCAGGGGGATAAGATGGGCACATTCCCATTTTGCCTCAGGTGGCAAAATGGGACAGGCTGCCCCTGTGACTACCATTCATTAACAAACAGTCATCTTAATCTAAATCTTAATCTACAATAGACTGTAGAATTTTACCTCGATGGATTTTCACATGGTGTTAGATTTAGGTACCATTTAAAGCCAAGATACCTGCAGCCAGTTGAGGCATCACTGCAACAGGCTGGGACACCTTTGTTGGCAAATGCTCCTGGGGGGGGGGTGGCAGACCCCCTGTACCTCCAAGCATCTCCCAGTAGGCACGTCTCTGGAATGGCATGTCCCTTCACTCCAGAGTGCCCCTCTGTGCCACTTCTCATATGAAAAGTGCACACAAGTCTTCTGGCATCACACAGCAAGAAGATAGAAACACCCGTAGATCTAAACTACGCTTTATTCACAATATATACAGAGAATCCATAATCACGTCTGTGCCCTCCAAACTCTGGCAGAAACAGAAAGCATACAGCAAAAGCGATAGTACAGTCCAATAACGCTCTCAGACGGAAGAGATAAGACAGTCTTCCGTTCCCACACTCTTCTCAGACATCTCATGTGATTTATACTAATCACACTAGTAAAATCCTAACAACCTATTCCCATGGTCTTCCTTCATGCCAGTTGGCCTATAACCGTATGGAAGATCCACATGGGAAATGAGATCAATGCAGCTCCCCAGCAAAGAGATTTCTACCTGGCAATATTCACATGGAAAGGAAATTGTTATTTTCACAATGGTTGCTGTTCTCTGTATCTGATGTTACTGGCGCAGTGTGGGACTGAAGCCTGGGACTCCCAGCTGCTGCTGAAGTTGTATATGAGGTGGGCTTAATGCAACTGAGTCAGGTTTAGTACGTTTCCACAGCCATTGTAAAAAGCCATCAGCACATAGAAAAGACAGCACAGTTTCTCGTGGGTTCATTTGCTATATGCAACGAAATATATTTCAGTTTTCTAAAAGCCAGTCAGTACATGTAGACAATATTCCAGTAAAAGCTCAAACACCATGGTTTCTGCCCTGTTATATCACGTTGCTGATTTTTGAATGCAAGTTTTGATATGAAATTTCTGCAGAATTTGATTAGCCAGCTCCCTCTGCTGGGTAACAATGAGAGTGCATCTCCCTGTCCCCCAAATATTTCTTTCTTTCTTTAAAATAAATGTTTTATTTCCCCAGAATCAGGATTCATCCACATTCCTCTTTGCCCCGTGATTTCTAGGCATGGGTCTGAGAGGTTTTTCTTTCGCTAGGAAAACCCGCTGTTTACAGCTGAATCAGAACAAACATCAATCCACAGAAAACCCAATTGACGCTTGTTCCTATTCTGCAGTAAACCACGAGGGACAAAATAACCATCTAACTGAACAGTGAGCTGTAAGATAGGACCATTTTTTGTCCTAGGAGCAATTAAGAGGAAGTCAGGCATCTTCAGATCCCACTTAGACCAAATAATTAAGTACAGTGGTGCCCTGCAAGACGAATGCCTCGCAAGACGAAAAACCCGCAAGACGAAAGGGTTTTCCGTCGCGGAGGCGCTTCACAAGACGAAGTTCCCTATGGGCTTGCTTCGCAAGATGAAAACGTCTTGCGAGTCTCACCATTTCCCCCCGCTTTCCCCCCCCTTTTCAAAGCGGCTAAGCTGTTAATAGCCTTTTAACAGCTTAGCCGCTAAGCCCGCTAAGCCACTAATAGCGCTAAATCGCTAATAGCGCTAATCCGCTTAGCCGCCAATGGGGTTGCTTCGCAAGACGAAAAAACCGCTAGAAGAAAAGAATCGCGGAACGGATTCTTTTCGTCTTGCGAGGCACCACTGTAGTAATTTATTGACCATATATTACTTAGTAATTTAGCAACAAATGATTACTTAGGAATTTCTTGGCAACTTATTTTGTAAGTCGTCTTGACAAATTATTTTGTATTCCCCTACGTACTGTGGAATTCTTTTTTAAATATAATGAACTGACATGGCTTCCTTTCTAGCATTTATAGAGTGCAGCATGGTCTAAAAGAATTGTTTTAGAATCTTTATTTTGTTCACACATGCAGCAATCTAGTGAGGCACTTTGTGGGGCACAGGAGGGAGTGACTGAACATCTAGTCACAAGGCCACATCAGATCAGACAGCAAAGTAAACTACAGATCACATAATATAATTAGCTTCAAATTATTTAATCACATCTTTCTCACAGAGAAAGGAGGAAAAACATAACCAAACTACATAAAAGGTGGGTGAATGTATGGAAAAACCCTGCTTTAAATGGTATTAAATATAACTTTTATTAACACTTAGCTGGGTGATCTAATTGGGAATATCTGGAAAACGTGATGTTTGTCTGAAAGTAAATCTCTGCAAGATCAGAAGGAAATATGTGATTATATATTTATGGCAGTTGTTCCAGAGAGTGGTGTAAAGTGTGCAGTTAGGCAGTGTGAAGTATGGAGAATGACACTTGCTTATCTTTCTTTTCCTGTTTTTTTATCCCCCAGAAGCACATTCTTCAGCGTAAGTATATTTACTTACCTTTCTGTTTGCCGCTTTTGAACAGCTGAAACATTGACTAGAGTTGCAAATATTGATCCAAGGATCAGTAGTTCTGCACTATTGTGCAGAATCCCTTGCATTAGTTATATCGGGTCGGATCCAAACTTCTCCTTCCATCCACAGGTGATTTTTGATCCTGGAAGGAAGGATCCTTCTGACAGTAGAGGGCGAGGAGGCGACTTCTGCCAATCCCCCTCCAGCGCCATCTCCCACACTGTTTCGCTTGTATGTCTGTCTTTTACAACTCCCTAAAGCATTTCCTCAGAAAGCACAAGGGGCTGTAGGGGGTGTGGGGGGAAAACTCTCGTTTCCCCCTTTTGCTAGCCGGAGCAAAATCTGGATCCAAGCCATTTCATTTCCTAGCCTATAATACCTAAAGCTGGGCTCAGTTGGCTAATATTTTAAGAGGGTTCCAGTCGCCCATTGGCTGCTAATTTGAAGAAGCAATAATGAGGCCTTGAACAGTCTTCCCTATAAAGGATTGCACCATAGAACCAGAGTTGAAAAGGACCCCAAGGGTCATCTAGTCCAACCCCCTTCTCTGAGCAGACTCACTGAAACCAGTGGATCAGATTTAAATGAGTGTATTCTCAATAGAACTAAATACTGTATACATTCAGTACTTCCCTATGTATATATGCCGATGTTTTCTTTGTTAATAAGAACACAGTGCAACAGCTACTTTACAAGGTTGGTAAAGCAATATTGTCTATATTTTGAAACCCATGTAACAGACGTATCTGGATAAAATTACTTATGTTTAAGTAAAAAATAAAAGGTAAAGGTAAAGGTACCCCTGCCCGTACGGGCCAGTCTTGACAGACTCTAGGGTTGTGCGCCCATCTCACTTAAGAGGCCGGGGGCCAGCGCTGTCCGGAGACACTTCCGGGTCACGTGGCCAGCGTGACAAAGCTGCATCTGGCAAGCCAGAGCCGCACACGGAAACGCCGTTTACCTTCCCGCCAGTAAGCGGTCCCTATTTATCTACTTGCACCTGGGGGTGCTTTCTAACTGCTAGGTTGGCAGGCGCTGGGACCGAGCAACGGGAGCACACCCCGCCGCAGGGATTCAAACCGCCGACCTTTCGATCGGCAAGCCCTAGGCGCTGAGGCTTTTACCCACAGCGCCACCCGCGTCCCCTAAATAAAAAATAGTATAGGGTTTAATTCAATTATAATATGATTTATAATGTGATCTTGTGGGTATTGCTTCGGTAACAGTCAGACAAAAATTAATTTAACGTTAAGCCCCAAATTTAGAAATAATATGATTAATTGACTTCTTACATGCAGGCAAATTCCCTGTGATGGGGAGCCTGTGGCCCTCCAGTTCTTGTTGGGATTCTATACTCTCTCCGTCCCTGAACCATTGGCAATGCAGGCTGGGGATACTGGGAGTTGGAATCCAATAGCATCTGCAGAGCCACAGTTTCCCTTATCCTTGCTCTAAGCTCTGAATCAAACTTTTAAAAAAAACAAAAACCAAGCAAATTCAGTAGAAACATGAATGTATGGAAAACAAAACTCTATACAAGTAATGTGCATGAAATGCCCAGATAAAACAGTATACTTTCTCCCACTTTTGTTTTGCTAGCAGGAAGAACAAAGCTGCAAACAGTGAAAAGGTGAGCATTCTGTATCCATGCGGTAGTGGTACTGGCAAGATTAATTCACCCATTATGTCTGCTTCAGGAAGGGTGGATATAATGTACTTTCTCATGCCACAACTCTAAAGTACAGAACGGCTAAGAGCACAGCTATTCACCCAGACAACGTGGTAAACTGGACTGCACCAATTCAGATGCAGGGAGCAAGGAGGGAATTATCTTTGAACGTTCTTCCATATAAAAGTGTCCCATAAAAAGGTGGCTAGCATATTAGGGAAGAAAACTATGCTTGGCTACTACTTACAGAAAGTTGTTTTGAATTATGTCCCGCATAATGTCCCATCTGACCTGGCAGAGAATAGCAAGAGATGCATCAGGTTATTTCTGTTGGCATCTTACTCAGCTGTACGCTCCTCTATACATTATACCGGTAGTTATGGAAAGGAGCATTTGCCAGAAAGAGGCTATTTCCAGCAGTCTTGTTACATACTGAATACATAACAGCTCTCAGGAAGGTGCGTCTCCATCTAGTGGCAAGTTCATGAATTTCTATAGCCTTACCCAGATTACATATTAAATACTGTTGTTTTCCCCCACTCCTGACAGCTTGTAGGATCAGTGTTAACACACAAAGCAGTGGTAGATGGCAGCCATACTAAAGTTTTTCACACTGCATGACACCGTGAGAGCTGGCTAGATAGGATGGTTTTCACCAAACTCCCTTCTACATATAAGATCAAGGGGAGGGAGGGACTTCAGTGGGAATCAGTCTGTATACATGGAGGAAGCTTTGTTGTTATTTTTTACCATCATAATGACAGCATAGAACCACTGAAATGGCAACAAGCTTAGGATACAGTCCACATTGAGGTTTATTCAGCTGATCTTATGCTCAGGTGGGGATGCATGGATTAGAATGTTTGCTTCACATATGTGAGTCAGCTTGTAGAGTTCTTTTCACAATGATATGGATGACACAGAAAACTGCTAAACCAGGGGTGGATAAGTTGCGGTTCTGCAGATGTTGCTGGACTTCAGCTCCCATCAGCCATGCGGATGGAAGTTGTAGTCCAACATTTGGAGGGCCGCAGGCTTAGCTACCCCTTATGTAATGCATAGGACCTTCCAGATGTCTCGGACTCCAATTCCCATCAGCATCAGCCAACATTGCCCATAGTTAGGGATAGCTGGAGTCTGCACCATGTTTGCTGCTCCTGTTATAATGCTATGTGGGGTGCTTTCATAATTATTGGTGGTGAATGGATATTAGTACAAAACCTCCTACTGCAACTATCTGAATTATCTCAACAGTTCTTCTTTCTGTTCCTTAGGATTTCAAGCACACCAAGTCCTTTGTTATTTAAAAGAAACCCACCCTCTGAGGAACACCAAATGAGCATTTGCTGGAGCAGAATATCAAAGGGATGCTTGGACTCTATTATAGAAATATTAAGAGTGGTACATGCAAAAAATAAACCAATGGCAAAGCCAAGGCACTATTGCTAAAAGCTGAAGACACACGATTGTCAAAAGTTGTTTTAACGTAGTTTGATAGTGCTTTTCTAACCTGGTGGTTGTAGATTACGCAATTGTAAGGGGTTTCTTACTGTGTAATGTCCCCAAAAGGATAGGAGAGGAGGTGATGAAGTGCACAATTCTAGTCGCCACATCTCAAAAAGGATACCATGCAACTAGAAAAGGTGCAACCAAAAGATCAAAGGACTGGAACAACTCCTCTATGAGGAAAGGTGACAGATTTATAAAATTGTTGAGGAAGTGGCTGAAGTACCCCCCCCCCCGTAACTCCAGAACTTCTGTGCCATCCAGTGAAGGTAACCAGAGAGTCTGAACAGAGAAAAGGAAATAGTTCTTTACACCATACATAGCTAACTTGTGGGTTTTGCTGAGCGCAACTAGTTTTGATGTCTTCAAAAGGGAGCTATACAAACTCATGGATGATAAGAGTTAGAATTGGCTATATACACTTTTATGATGCCAGTTGCTTGGGAGTAAGTGGAGAGGACAATTGCCTTCATGTCTTCCTTGTGGGCTACCTAGAGGTGTCTGGCTGGTGACTTTGGGAAACAAGATACTGGATTATATGAAGCCAGCCCTCTAGGAAGAACTGTCAGGAGTAGCCTGATCTGGTCATTACTGCCCTTGGATCCTTTGGGAAGGGCAGGATATAAATTTAGTAACTTAAATAATTTAACTATTCAGGGCCAATATTTTGGGCTGGGGCATAGATGCCTCTAAGGAAGATTTGTCCTTTTCTCCATTGTGCAGGTCAAGACAACTGCAACTGCTACCATACTTGTTAATGTTAAGGGTGTAATTCTACCATCAAGCCAGCAAGCAGGCTTTGGGAAGAACTGTGCAGTAGGAACAGTCTTGACTTGTTGATCTTATTTTCTCTACTCCTGCATCCTGGTCCAGGATAGCTAGAACCTCAAAAGACATCATGTGTAGAGTGAGTGAGGATTTTTCCTTGTTCTAGAGTAGAAGATCTACATGTGATGTCTTGCCCTATAAACAACTTTATTCCAGCCTGCTTGTAAGCTAACTTTAAAGGCCTAAATGGCAGAAAGGCAATATATGAATCAATCAAATAAAGAGCTCTGCAGTTTAAGAGCTTTTTACTCATAATTTTTGTGGAACATGATAGGTCCCACAGCCAAGATCAGAATAATATTGTTCAAAGCCGTTTTTGCCTCCACTATTTAAATGTCGTGACTCTTTCAGTCTATCTAAACAATAACAAAATTATGCAGGTATAGGTCTGTTGAAGTGTAGTGCATTCTTACCACTGCTCATTTTTCTCCCTTTAAACCCTATTTATGATTTATTTTCTGAAGACTGTACATTTTGCCTGAGAAGAAATCCTTTTCACCACTCAATGCTAATGAGTGCCTTAATGTTTTTTTATATAAAAATCTCTTGGATGGCATTATAAATAAATCACATATGCTTTGTTACTAGTGTGATCATGATGCTGATGTTTAAGACAAAACATGGGTATGAATGTTAGGTTTCTTAAATAAAAAAAAGCAAGACAAATTCCTAAGCCGGATTCTCATCTCCACCCAAGAACCTTAAACCTCACAGCTGGTATAATTTCTTGCCCTAACTTTGTTGTGCCAACATTGTTAGCCTCACCATATTATATGTATCTTATTAAAGATGTGAGAAATGTGATTACTACTCCTAGGCTAGGGATGGGGAGCCTGTGATGCTTTAGTTGTTGCTGGATTGTTGATGGACCCAAGACAGCATGGCCAATGGGCATAGATGGGAGCTGTAGTAATGCAACATCTAGAAGTCCACAGGTTCCCCATGCTTCCTACAAGCATTAATAGTGTAATGTGATTCTTTTTGTTTCAAGAATAAAAACCTTGTATAGGAAAACCTTAGATCCAAGTATATGCAGTCAATTCTGATCAATGAAGTAATCAATTACCTGCATTATACGCATGACTATGACTAATTGTCAAAGGTGGGCCAAAGCTTCAGGTACTATTTACACAATTTTCCTGTGTAAACTACTCAATTATTTCAGATTTCTTTCCCAATATAGCAACTATTTTCAAGCACATTTGCTTGTACCAGTTGGTGTGGACTTTTCAGTTATTAATTTATTTTTTAACGCATGCCACCAAACTTTCAAGAACAAGTATGGAGTTACAAACATTTACCATTAATCATGTGTCCCTCCAACCCTGTACACATTTCCTTAGAAGCAAATCCTACTCATTTCAATGGCATCCATTAAGTAAAGGCAAATATTATATAAGGGTGCCAGTCAACAGTAAATCAATGAAAGGCAAAGAAACTAACTTAAAACATTTTATATATTATTTCAACTATTTGAGGAATTTTATTTTGACAAATATAGTCTATTCAATAGTCTGATAGACCACATTTTCCACCTACAGTATTATATTGACAGGCTCCTGACTCTGCTTGTATGAAAGAAATGAGCAGTGTTAAATGAAATTAATTATTGAATCACCCTGTATTTCAATTCAATTCACTGAGTGATAACACTTATGTAACCAAGTGGAAACAACCACATACTCAGAATGTGCTGGTACCTCTTCTTGTAACTCCAGGTTTTTTGGAAGCACAAAACCCTTGAGTCCACCTCCTAAAACCTGGCAGCAGTACCAAAAGAATACAACTGTTGACGAAGAAGCTGAAAATGGGGTGGGAATGGAATGGCTAGAAAAATATGATGGGAGAAAAGGATAATAAAAACACTAAAGCTGTTTTTGAACAGCCTTGGGACTGGAGAGCAGAAAGCATGCTGGCTTCTGCTACTGGCCAGAAGACCTGGGGCCCCTGGGAAGCTGCCCCCACCCTGCCTACCAGGAATAGCATCATGGTAAGAAGATGACTCACCTAGTCCTATCCACTAGCCAGAGGAGGAGGTGCAAGGCACTTGTCCTCCATCCACTGAAGAATATTCAGCTCCAACCACCCAGTTGCCCTGCAAAAGCAAGGGGGCCTCATCCCCTTGGTCAAAGGAACAAGAGCTACCAATTTCATTTCAAGCAAGAACACCAGCAAGAGAAGATCAACCTGACTTGAACTGGATAGAAGTGCCCTCTTACAGCTCACCCCTTTCATCTGGCCTTGGAAAACTATCTTCTACCTTTCCCTGCTCCTACTCGCCTTTCCATGTGTGTGTTCTTTTAGTCTGTAAACCTGATGGCAGGGACAGTCTCTTTTTATTGAAGTGAGCCACTTTGGGAGACTGTTATTGTCTGAGAGGGGGATAAAAGCAGTAAATAATATTAAAAGGGGCAGAAGAAATATTTTAACACAGCTGAGACTGGGCATCAACTATGTCCGCTGCCTAATCCTGAAGGAGGAAAAACCCAAAACAGCCCAATGAAGTCTGAGAATGCAGACTGATTGTTGGAGGAAAACAAGGTGAGGGACAGTGGAATGAAGCTATCTTTCCAATGAGCAAACAAGGCACAGATTTACATTCAACAGAATTCAAATATTCACATTTGAACACTGAACTGTTTATTTAAATTACAACCGCGGGCCTATTCAACACCTCCAGCCACATTGCTGCTGCTTGTGTACTTGCTATCACATCACTTCTGCTCCTCTTCAAATTTGGGCTCTGTCATATGGGAAAAATGAAAGAAAGTGTCAGTTTAGTTTCAAAGTGAAGTTTTCTAAATAGATAGTTTTACAACTTGATTCTATTGTCAATTTGCCAGAAATTAAGAACTGCAGCTTTAGCTACACAAATCTACAAGAGAGGAGAGGGCCCATCAGCACTCTTGGAGCATAACACTTATTCCTTTTTAAATGCAGGTTCTCCACAGATGAACAGAGTCTACTTCAGTGTAAATGGTGCAAAAGCCACACTTGCTTCCAAGGCAAGTTCCTACTACATGCAAATATTAGCTGCTTTACAAAGAGATGCATAGAGAGTATATGTATAGTTTATTGTTGTTGTTTCAGCCATCATTTCCCACAGGGGAAATATATACACTAATGCAATACTGAGGAACAACATCAACCAAAATATCTATTTATATTAAAATATACATGTAACAACAACAACAATTTAATACACAAAATAATATACCAAAGGTTAAGAAATGATAAAAAATTAAAATACAAATGGTTCAAGGAATTAATAATTAAAATCATCCAGTTGCATAAACCCAGAAAACCAATAGGAACTAAATTGTTTAAAAATAAAGACATTACACGGTCTTTTTGCTTGTTGATCTCAAATTTAAAAACAATGTATGAATGCATAACGTTATTACTGGAAACAGAACCGACTGCTAAGATTACTATGTAGAGAACAAGAATACGAATGTATCGCCATAACATACATACACACACACACACACACACACACAATTATATCAGGTACAACATTTGAGCCCATTTACACACTCACTCTCTCATTCTCACTAGTTTACTGAAATATGTCTAAAAGCTAATCCTGAATATATATCGTAAGTCCCATCCCACAAAAGTATGCTTAAAAATATGTGAAAATATCTGTGGTTACTGACTGTAACCAGTTAGTAAAGGTTTTTTTAAATCACTTATTTTATTTAACATGGCATTTCTGATATTTCAATTATCCACTCTCACGTTTTTACATTACTAAACGAGTTATAAAACTTAAAAGCTTACCCTGAAATTTGAATTCTGGAAATTTGGTCATATCTCCACCACCATACACCCGCTGGAGCTTGACCATTTGTTCATGCAAGCTTTTTTCATATTCTGGACCAGCATCAACAGGGCCACCAGTTTTCCTACAAATGCAAGAGTTAATTGAGCTTTGTTATATCTAGAGTGACGGATGGGGAAAGAATCTAAATAAATCACAAACACTTGGCGAACAGAGAACTTGTAGCACAAATAGAACAACTCAAGTACAGTGGTACCTCAGGTTAAGTACTTAATTCGTTCCGGAGGTCCGTTCTTAACCTGAAACTGTTCTTAACCTGAAGCACCACTTTAGCTAATGGGGCCTCCTGCTGCCGCCGCGCCACCGGAGCACAATTTCTGTTCTCATCCTGAAGCAAAGTTCTTAACCTGAGGTACTTTTTCTGAGTTAGTGGAGTCTGTAACCTGAAGCGTATGTAACCCGAGGTACCACTGTATAGGATCTTTAGTGTACAGTGATGCCTATAATGAGTTTTCACACTACGTGAATTGTAACCCTTGTTACAGTTACAATAACTTGTTACAGAGTACCATAATTTTAAGAACTGTTATTACAAAATGACGAATGATTCCGTAGGCGAGAGACAGCAATGTGTAGAGGTGAGAGTATTTGACTTAGATCAGGGTGGTCCAACATGAGGCCCTTGAGGCCTTTTTGGGTGGCCTCGGGTGACACCTCCTGCAGCCCTTGAGCTGTCTTCCCAAAGCAAGGTGCTGGGCTTTGGGAAGGAGGTGTGAGGGCTCTGACGGGATCCTAAAGTCCTCTCTCTTCCTTCCTAAAGTCTACCTGGTACTTTCCCAGCTTTGGAAAGGCAGCGTGAGGTGTGTGTTTGTGTCGAATTTTGCTCTTATTCCATGCCTCCACATGACAAGAGTGTGCAGCCCCCGGGTTCTGTGCTGAAGTATGCTTGTGCCCTACTTGGTATGAAAAGTTGGACCACCCTGACTTACATCAAGGAGACCTAAATTCAAATCCCCCTCAACCCTTATGCTGACTGGGTGACCAGGAACTGATCATACACACACACAGCTACTTTAGCCTACCTTCTAGAATGGTTGTGAAAATAAAATTGGAGGAGGATCATGCGGTCTTGGAGTAATTTCACAAAGAACATATAAATCAGGGATGTGATGTTGGGATTACAACTCCCATTGTCCCTGCTGGTTGGCCACAAAATATAAATATAAAACAGAACTAGGCATTGGTTGCATGATAGTTTTATAAGGTGGCCAATATTGTGACTGATGTTAAAAAATGCCAGAAAATGGCATGGGTTTGTATTCAGTTTACATGCGTTATGGAAACTATTTACCAACACCCTTCTGTGGAAGTCACTGAAGTCTAAAAGACAGAACAAAAATCTCAAACTGGAAAGGAGGCAGGAGCCAGCAAATCTTCCTTTTGATATTAGCACAGCTGCAGCAAAGCAAATATAAGCAGCTGCCCACAATGGAAGAGCATGGGGAAGATTTTCAGCCAGGTGCTTTGGGTTTTTTGGGGTGGTAGTGGTCGAGGGTGGGTTAAGCTTTATTATTTAGAGCAACAACTCTGGTTAAGAGTGTCAGACTATGACCAGAGCAAATTCATGCTCAAAGAGACCCAGAGCAAATTCATGCTCAAATCTTAAAACTCATTGGGGTAACCTTAGGCCAGTCACAATCTCTCTAATGTACCTCACAGGGATGTTGGGAGCATGGAAGGTGAGGAATAACCATGTATACTGCCTTTAACTCACTGGAGAAAAAGTGAGATATAAAATGGGATTAATAAGTATGGCTGAATTTCCCCCCTACATATCACAGGGGAAAGTGTTTCATTGCTGGGAAAACTAAATCCTATAGAAATAATACAGACAGCACAACTTTCATATTTGTACTTTATTGTTTACCTAATAATTTGTGAACTTTGTGGAACAGCAAATGTTCAATGTTGAATAACTTCAGCATCCCATGAACAGTTGCTATGACTGACTATAGCAACAACTGTGCTAGGTATGCAAGACCATTATGTGGGAAATAGCATTCTGTTGCTTTTATTATATGTCAGGTAACAACTTCAAATAACAAGCTGTGTGCAAAATTGAATCTAAATCATGCCTGCAAACAAATGAAGTGGGACTCACAGAGAGCCCCTTTGGTGCTGAGTGTGTCACTGATCAGACAGCTGGCACTGAAAGCATGCCTTCAAAGGGGTTTG